AGAGAGGAGCCAGAGGAGGAACATGCCCATCCTTGCGTACAAAAACCATGGGACAGGACAAGAGAGTATTTGCTCTGGAAGATCTGAAGCTGTTGGAATATTATGGCGAGCAGGGAAGGGGCGGAAACTAGACATCAGGCTTCTGAGATCTTTGTAAAATTGATTGGAAGGCAGATCTTGAACTACCAGTTAAATATTTTATGTGATAAATTAAGGAGATGAAACAGCATTTCAGGTTTTATAATTTTAATATATTACCTTCTCTAGGCTAGGGCTGGGCGCGTTCCTGGTGGAACAATCGTTCTTTACCGAGAACAAACGGAACAATCAAGAACGATCCCATTGTTCCAGAAAAAAACGCTTAGAACGCGTTCTTAAAAATATTGGAAGGATTAGTAAAAGAACGGTTAAAATCGGTAACGCGTTCTTATTATCAAGAACGCGTTCTAAGTTGGGAACGCATTTTAAATCAGGAATGTGTTCTAAATCATCTAGAAATAGTTAAAGATTTTTTTTATTTAATCACCTGACCCCCGTCCATATATCTTTGCAATCCTATGTTGTAGACCTTAGATATTTCAAACTATGAATTCTGTTGGATCAAATGATCTAAGTTTAAAATATCAAAGGCACCAACAGGTTGCAAAGTTGCAGTGATGAGAAAATTTAAGTTAGTGTCCATGACTCAATTCCTCGTATTAAGCAACAATAAATGTGCAGAAAATTTGCACGTTTTGCACAAGTGTTATTTTATTGCACATTGCACAGGATCTGGTGGGACTAACTTTCCAGATTCATCTCTCTCTGCACCTAAACTTCAAATACAAGGCAAATATCAGGGATTTTAAATTCAGAGCTCTTTGTGCATTTAAGTCAAATTAAATTTTTCCATATACAACTGCGGAACGGGACGGAATGGAATGATAAAAAAGAATGAGAACGGAACGATTTAGCTGAAGGCCCTCGTTCTAGACCGGAACGGAATGATTTCAAAAAATTCAGACGGTGCCCAGCCCTACCCCTCTCTATTAATGTAGTACTCCTAGGTTTCCTGTTTTTTTAAAGACCAAAATAGTTTGCTTGCTTTTAGATCATTTTTTGACAACAAAGATTTCATTCTCACTTTCCTTCTCAGCAAATCCTTGAAGCTCTGTGTTCTCACTTAAACAAAGATATTCCTTCATTCTTTCCTATGTTGTCAATAATCCAGCTATTCCTTGTATGCTTAAGCCCTTTCATCTGTTTCCTGACCTTCTTCTTTATTGACAAAAGACGACCTAACTTTGAGCTTATTAGGGATTTCTTCTTCCTACTCTCCTGGACTCCTGGAGACACTGAAAAACCTCGCAACTCATCAGTTATGAATGTACACTGCTAAGCTCCTATAAGACGTTCAAAGAATGAATTCTTGGGCTTTCGCCTCTTCTCAAGGGTGTTAGTAAATGAGGACCATTTCTTAATGTATTTAAATGGGTTTCTTTCCTTGTCACATTCTTGCTGTCTAGACTGTGTCATCTTGAACTCCCATAAAAGCGTGATATGATCAGATTCTACAGCTTTGCCCTATTCATCAATGATCCTGAAGTTCATGGTGGCTGCCAACACTCCTTTGGAGGCGATCCCATAATCATATATAATTGAACGAATCACATTATTTCCCATGTCTCTTTGTAACGTGAATTCCTCCACCACTACTCCATTCCAAGATAAAAGATTTATACAATACTGGTCGTTTTGCTCTGCAAATTCCATCAACAACTTGCCGTTGATGTTGGGGGGATTAGGGTAGCGATAATGAAGTCAAAAGTAAATAAGCCTTTCCACATGACCGTTGAAATCTCCCATAACATTAGTTTGATAGCCTTTACCATGGATATCTCTTGAATCTCCTCTATTATTTGGGTTTACAGTATTTATTGAGTTTTATAGTTCTCAGAACCTACTGGTGAATTTACTTGCATGTATATCATGTATGTCACTAACTTAGTATTAGCATCTTCTGCAAGTACCCACACTGGTTCTATAACGATCAATGCTGGTGCTTTATATTGAGTCATTTACTATTATTAGATAGTTAAATTCTCTTCATTAAAGTTTTCGCGGAATTTTTGTTTGCAAAAATTGTTATCGCAAAATTTCGCATCATTTTCACAATTTTTCGTGAAAATTTTCGTTCGATGGAAACCCTTTTCAAAACGCTATTGTTTTAGTCCGAAGTGATAAAATGCTTTTGTACAGAAGTTTTCTTTTTATCAAAAAGGTTCCAGCTTTTTTGGAATATATTTTGTTCCAAGCTTTATCAAAGGATAAAATTATCTAACAACGCGACATGGTAGAATCGATCAGTTTAATTTATCATCATTATCTGTGAATGTATTGATAGATACAAGAGAGTGTATTAATGAATAGTTTGGCTGCAGCAGTAAGATCAAAATGTATGTGAAGTCTAATGGTATGTCCAGGATTCTAAGGAAATAAATGCATGTTCTAAAATCCTTTTAGAATCAAGAACTAAAGTGCTGAAATAGACAAAGTGTAACATGATTTTATTTAGTCTTTGTCAACTTGAACAAGGAATTCAGGATTTGAGCTTAAAATATTTCAACATTTCAAACTTTGGATGGATAATAAAGTAGAGTTTGCACATCGTATAAAAAAATCGTTTTAATATCTTTAATCAAAGACCAAAGTAAATATTTGAGTTCGTGTATAATAAAAAAGATTTTTAAACATAAATTTGAACAAAGGATTAAGAACATGTTATTTGTAAGTCTTGTAACTCACGCTGCAGTAAAATATACAATCAAAATTGGATTTTTAAGTGTTGGGGTTTCTTACTTTCTTTCCTTACTTTACCCCTCTTCTGTTCACCATACATGCTTTACCTCTCTACTGTTCACCAATCATACCATACCTTTCCTTAAAATTAACCCCATTTTGTTTCCTTTCATCTTTTACCTTTTCTTTTTAAATGACTTAGTGTTATGTATTAGTTATTTGTTAATATCAAAATGTAAATTGCATGTTTATAAAATGTAGTGCTCGTAGTCATATTATCAATTCGTACTATTTCCTTGACTGTAGTCGTGTTGTGTGTCTGTACCGAAAGAGTGTGAGTAAAGTTTACCGAACTTGTCTGCAAAGCAGTGCGACTGACTTTCTCATGCCAGACCAGCGCCATTTCCTTCTCCTTTATTTCTATTCCCTGGTCACTCCCTTTAACGATTGTATAACATCTGCCCAACTTTACAGCCGTCCTACAATACTACCCACACATAGTTTTTCAGCAGCTTCAAGCTGCTGTTGGTCCGATGTACTGTAGGTCGGATACACACTTCATTGAAAAAAAGTGAATTCGATCTACTGTAGGTCGGTTGCACAGCTTTTCTTAAAGGGAGTGACCGGCTATGTAAGGTAATTGAACTGAGTATGCAGTGTTGTCGAAAACTTCTCCAGGATTCATTTGAGACATATTTCACTTTTTAAAGATCTGTAAATCCTGAGTTTGAGCGCAAATTCGACGTTCAAAACTCCTGATTTGGGGGTGGATACGCTTTCAGAATTAGTTTTTTTTTAAATTATTAAATAACGACAACGAAAAATAAAGTAAAAATTATACAGTAATCTAATTAGATGGCTAGGAACATATTTCACAAAAGAAATTTGTCAATTAATCAATGCTAAAATCGATTATTTCGTTTTCATTATTATTTTGAATTTCTAATTTTCTTTGAATTTATTCGCAGATTTCTTCAAATTCTTTAAATGTCGTCTTTTCAAAAATAATTATAGAAAATCTGCGAACATCTTTGTGAATAACGAGAAACTCGAATAATGAGATAATAGAAACTAATAATTGAACAAGATTACCTATTTTCGATGATAAGATTAATTTTTATTTTCTCAAAATGTTCCTAAACATGACGTCTGTAGTTTATTGTAGAATATTTTTACACTTTATGTCGTCGTTAATTAATAATTTAAAAAAAAAATAATTCTGAATGCGTATCCACCCCCAAATCAGGAGTTTTGAACGTCGAATTTGCACTTAAACTCAGGATTTACAGATCTTTAAAACGTTTAATATGTCTCAAATGAATCCTAAAGAAGTTTTCCACAACACTGCGTTCAACTACCTTACATAGCCGGTCACTCCCTTTAAGTTGCTTACTTTCTTTTGTAGGTCAGATGCACAACTAATTAGTAGGTTGGATGCACAACTTTTTCTCATTTAGAATGAATAAGATTTCCTTGTCTAAAGAGCTGAAAATTGACTATTGTCATAATTGCAATTTCTCTACAGGCGACTTGAGAATTTTTGCTGCAGAGTCGATGAAGGAAAATGTCAGAACTCAACATAATTAACGGACAAAACATCTCTTCAAATGGAGGTTTATTCAAAATTCAGTTCATAGTCTCTTTAATAAAATAATGTAAACAATAGGTTAAAGAATGGAATATATTTCAAATACTCTCTTATTATGAGAATTATCACAACACAGGACTAACAAAACAAAAATGGCGAAGATTTAACAACAAAAAGTGAGAAATGAGTTGGATTAAGATCTTAAAAAAGGAGACAAATTTATAATTTCAAAATTTTCAGATCCGGATTTCAAACTTTAAAGATGTCTCCAGCAAGAATTACTTCTTTTTAAAAGAATTGAAGGATAAAAAGATCTGAATCAGATTCAAAAGGCAAACCTAAAAAAGGAGGAATGTTTTTGGAAATTGGAATGAGTTTATTAAAGGATCGAGACTGCCAGATGGATGAAAGGATCGAGAACTGCCAGATGGATGAAAGGATCGAGACTGCCAGATGGATGAAAGGATCGAGACTGCCAGATGGATGAAAGGATCGAGACTGCCAGATGGATGAAAGGATCGAGACTGCCGGATGGGTGAAAGGATCGAGACTGCCGGATGGATGAAAGGATCGAGACGGCCGGATAAGTGAAAGGATCGAGACTTCCGGATGGATGAAAAGCATGTATGATTGATTGAGGGGGGGGGGGGTCTAGAATCTAGTTTAAAGATTTATAATCTGTAAGAAGTGTAGGACAAGAGGATTAACAACTATTTTCTTTCCAAATGAATCCAAAACAGATACTCCAGGAAACCAAATATATCTTTGTTTACATAAAAAGCGTACTGCAGACTCTGGTAGGAAAGTAAACAAACTCAGTGATGGTCACTGCACTACACTTAATTTTGTAAACAGTTGTATGGGGGTTACTGGTGTACCTTTCTTGTCTACGATTCTAATGATGTGTACTGTAGTTTACACTGTATAAATTATTACTGTAAACTGTACACAGTAAACAAACTGTGTACACGAAGGAATCTGAATGATACAGCACGTAAGACTAGAGTATAAACAAATAGAATCTAGAAAACACGAACATAACTGTAAAACTAAATACAGATTAAATAAAGTGGATTTAAAAAAATAAATATAATAATCAACAAAAGGAGTTAGAATTTGGGTGTATGGTAGTTTTTAAAGAAAAAATGTTGTGATTTTGACTCAAAATCAAAAATTAAAGAAGAAGTTAAAAATACGTAAAATTTGCAGCAACACTTATTTAAACGGTTCATTTTCTCTTATTTTCAAAATATATAATTTAATACATACACAAGAAAAAGGGGTTAAAATACTTCAGCAAACATTTTGTTTTAATATTTGAAAGAATTATTTAGGTAGGTTTCTTGGGTCTGCACTAACAGCGGGATTCTAAATATTTTAACACTCATCTCAAAAAGCATGATTTATCTCTATAAAACAGAAATGTAACATGCACCGTGTACATATATTATGTAATTTCACATCTTATTAAATCTAAATTCAATTGTTTCCCCTAATTTAGTCAAAGACCCATAAAATATTTTGAAAATGGATTTTTGAAATAAGTTTTCTACAAATATATGCCCCGTACTAAACTTTACAATTACCCCGAATCAATAAAATTGTTCACAACTGTCCAAGCTTCTCTAGAGTTACAATACATCCTTGGTTTTGAATCCGTTCATCTCATAGAATATAAAAAATTTAAATGTTTAACACTCCTTTGATTTTGTGATACTTTTCTTATCCCATCCTACCAGAGAAATATTTTAAAAATAAGTTATCTTGATTCGTGTCTAAATTTGTTTTGAGTCAGCCATTTTGATTTCCAGTTTGCGCGCATACGCATTTAATTATGCCATCTCGCCCATTTCTTGCTCAGTATCACGTGATGCAGCCTCTTCATCATTCTTCTTCAACCTAAATTATTTAATTACTAGCTTGAGAACCCACCGATGCCCAGCCTCCCAGGGGAGTCATAGTTAGTCCCACCGATTACCCGCACTTGGTCGTAAATTACGATTTAGCTATTTTTCCCGTTTAAAGGTAACCCACTCAACTTAGAATCTCAAAACCAAGCTAAGAACATTCCCGCGGCTCTCCCGAGTTCTCCTATCCAAATTTGAGGCAAATCAGTCCAGAGGTTCCTGAGTTATGATCGGACAAACAAACAAACAGAGATAACAACTTTATATATATATAAATATACAATGGGACCCATAACATTGTGGAATAGGCAGACGTCATTTAAACAATTCTTATGAGTATTTAATATTTTAAGTTTTTCAAACTTTTCCGTTTAGATCGGAGCTTTATTATGTCGTAGTTAGGTCTAATGACCTAAATGACCTCCAAAAATGAAAATGTTTTAACTATGGCTTTATGCATATCAAACAAATGATAGGAACCCAGGGAATACAGTAGCAGCAATGAATTAAGTGTTTGACCATCTAAATGAACTAAATGACCTCCAAAAATGAAAATGTTTCAACTATGGCTTTATGCATATCAAACGAAAGCTAGGAACCCAGGAAATACAGTAGCAGCAATGGATCCAGTGTTTGATCATCTAATGTCCTAAAATGACCTCCAAAATGAAAATGTTTGTACATGTATGTATATAAATCAAAAGCTATGAACCCAGGGAATACAGAAGCATCAAAAAAAGAAGAAGCTGGGCGTTGTTAAATGAATAGGGTCATCCCCTTTTTAAAAAAGAGTTTCCAAAGACACCATTAGCAGTGAGTAAATATAAGTGACTTTGAGGAAAAAATAATGAATATGTGACTCGGACTCTGATATAGAATTTATATGACTCCCTACCCTCCCCCTCCCCTCAAGCGGTAGTCTTATACTTACGGCATTCTTTAAACAAAACTATTTTTGTTCTTGCATTATTTTATTAATGAAGAAAAATGAAGAATTGATTCGGGATCAATTTTCACCATAATCATTGATAATGGTTTCAAACGGTCTTTTATCAACCTATTAATAACAAAGCTTTCATGCAAGGCGATTCCAAATCAGTATGAAAACCATGGTATGTAAATTATACTTGTATAAAACTGCTATATTTTGCAATCGCTATTCGTTGAGCTCACCTTTCGACCTTGTCGTAGGTTTTCTTTAAAAACACCTTCATCCCTGCATAGTCAGGGGGGCGCTGCACCATTAGTTCATTACAAATCTAAAATAGTAGGGGAAATGTTGTTAATTTTTATCGGCATACGAGATCTGCTATGACGTCACATCCTGTTATATAAGTGTGTCTAGAAAAATATAACCAAACCAAACTGTCATTATTCAAGAAACCATCAACAGGATTAGATCTGAGTATGAGTATATACTTTTCCATTTTAAACACTAGGGGGTATATATATATATATGAATATATTAGGAATTTGAGAAGGAAATAGTCGTTTTAGTATAAAGTGTGCTCGACATGTGAGTCGGCTTTATTTGTTGTTTAGGTTTGGGTGTTCAAATGATACGAGATATTAGGTACTCGTAGAATTTCGATATATTCCATATATATATATACCCAATAAACGTAAACTATATATTTTTCTAACCAATAGATAACTGGATTTGTACAAATAAGCAAGAGCTCGATAGAGATAAAAAATGAAATTTTTTCCGAACGCCGACCAAATACCAAAATGTAAGGAAAAAATACAATGTACACTCATTGACACAAAATACATCGCTAGTCCATTTAATACAAATATGTAGGAAACTATCAGTTCATTACAAATATAAAATAGGGGCAATGTACACTTATCGACCAGAATACTAAACTGTATACTGACCAGAATACTAAACTGTATACTGAACAGAATACTAAACTGTATACTGACCAGAATACTAAACTGTATACTGACCAGAATATTATACTGTATACTGACCAGAATACTATACTGTATACTGACCAGAATACTAAACTGTATACTGAACAGAATACTAAACTGTATACTGAACAGAATACTAGACTGTATACTGAACAGAATATTATACTGTATACTGACCAGAATACTATACTGTATACTGACCAGAATACTTAACTGTATACTGACCAGAATATTATACTGTATACTGAATAGAATACTAAACTGTATACTGAACAGAATACTATACTGTATACTGACCAGAATATTATACTGTATACTGACCAGAATACTATACTGTATACTGACCAGAATACTTAACTGTATACTGACCAGAATATTATACTGTATACTGACCAGAATACTATACTGTATACTGAACAGAATACTAAACTGTATAATGACCAGAATACTAGACTGTATACTGAACAGAATACTAAACTGTATACTGACCAGAATACTATACTGTATACTGACCAGAATACTAAACTGTATACTGAATAGAATACTAAACTGTATACTGAACAGAATACTATACTGTATACTGACCAGAATACTATACTGTATACTGAATAGAATACTAAACTGTATACTGATCAGAATACTAGACTGTATACTGAACAGAATACTAAACTGTATACTGACCAGAATACTAATCTGTATACTGACCAGAATACTAAACTGTATACTGACCAGAATACTAAACTGTATACTGACCTGAATGAACAGAATACTAAACTGTATACTGACCAGAATACTAAACTGTATACTGACCAGAATACTAAACTGTATACTGACCAGTATACTATAATGTATACTGAACAGAATACTAAACTGTATACTGACCAGAATACTAAACTGTATCTTGACCAGAATACTAAACTGTATATTGACCAGCATACTAAACTGTATACTGACCAGAATACTAGACTGTATGCTGAACAGAATACTAAACTGTATACTGACCAGCATACTAAACTGTATACTGACCAGAATATTATACAGTATACTGACCAGAATACTATACTGTATACTGAACAGAATACTAAACTGTATACTGAACAGAATACTAAACTGTATACTGAAAAGAATACTAAACTGTATACTGACCAGAATACTAGACTGTATACTGAACAGAATACTAAACTGTATACTGACCAGAATACTAATCTGTATACTGACCAGAATACTAAACTGTATCTTGACCAGTATACTATAATGTATACTGAACAGAATACTAAACTGCATACTGACCAGAATACTATACTGTATACTGACCAGAATACTTTATTGTATACTGACCAGAATACTAAACTGCATACTGACCAGAATACTATACTGTATACTGACCAGAATACTATACTGGCAGCTGTTTGTATACTGCTGTGAATAATAACAGGACAGTGAATAATGTATACTGTATAATGACTGGACAGTGTATAATGTATACTGTATATGACCGGACAGTGTATAATGTATTCTGTATAATGACCAGACAGTGTATAATGTATACTGTATAATGACTGGACAGTATACAATGTATACTGTATAATGTGTTCTGTGTATTGACTGGCCAGTAAATAATGTATACTGTAAATAAATAAATAACATGGTCAACCATCATCCCATGGGAGTCAGGGTTAAGCTCTCATCAAACCGTACCACCATATTGGTTGGCAGGGCGTCACTGGTCCATGTTTCAATGAAACAAAGTGTGGAGGGCCAGACAAGAGTCAAGTTAAAAGGCGGGCTGCCTTAAAACCGTTAGCACACTCTCCATAGCCTGACTGGTCCTGTTGGTACCAGCCAGAATAGAGGTTTAGACATAAATAGCAGATAGATACATATGGGGATGGCAATAAAAGGTAGATAATTGAATCATAAAAAATAGAGATAAAAATAGATAAAGCCAAACCCATTACCTTTATTCGTCCTCATTGATACCAGCATGAACTGATGTCATCCAGGCCTTGATAAGGACAGCCAGCTTTCTGCCTCGATTAAGCAACACCCCCTTGTCAGCCCAATCACCCCCAAGATAAGCCCTTAGAATTGCCTGATTACCATGAAGCCCTCTAGCCTTCGCTAAAAACACATACCTGGAAATACCTAGTGCCCTTCTTTGGGCTGCCACCACTGGGCACCTTAGTACGACATGTGACTCACCTAGTCTTACCCGAACGCCTAAGTCCTCACAGAATGGACATAGCTCATACATTATACCATACCTATTCCTATATCTATTTCCCAGCTGGGCATTACCACCTCGTATTTGGCTCAACAATTTACTTGCCTTGGAATTGTTTACATGCGCCTGTAGTTGGAACCACTTCCACGGTTGGGGTATCGCACCCACTGAGGGATGAGACCTCTTCACCTTCATCACAAACTTAACTGCTCTGTCCGCCATAGCCTTGACTAAATCCTGTCTCCTTTCAAAATCCGAGATGACACCAATATCCCTTTGGATGCTCATCCAAGACTTAACCCATGGATCACATCTGTTGTCAAGAAGCTCGCCCAGTACCTTAATTAGCACTTCATTGTGTTTCGACCTGACTACTGCCCAAATAAACAGAGCTTGACGTTTCTGAATCCTGTGTTCCAAAGGCATAAGACCCGCATCCACCCATGACATTACCCATGAAGAAGCGGCAGGGACCTGAAGGATGAACCTTCCAACCATACACTGCATTCTCTCCAACTCCTTTATTGTACTCTTTTTAAACACACACACCTCAGCACAGTACAAAATTGCCGGAATGGCACAGGATTCCCACAATCTCCGAGCCACAAAAGATCTATCCAGCACCCCCCGCAACAAGTTCATTATTGCATAGGCCTGGTTTGTAGCTCTGCGGACCAACGTCTTCCTCTACTTTCCATGACCCCACATACCCAGTATTGGTAAGGATGTATGTTTTAGAAGACAACAGCTTCATCTTCATGTCCAAGCAGAACTGTGAAACAATCCTCAACAGTCTATTCATACCTCTCTTCAGGGATCTTGACAAAAGCAATAAATCATCAGCAAAGAATAAAGCAGTTAACACCTTCTCCTTTAACTTCACCCCAAGCTTTGTGTCATCAAGAGCTACTCCTAATGATGCAACAAACAGAGCAAACAGCATAGGGGATAAACTACACCCCTGTTTCACCCCCTCACCCCCTGTGTGAAATACACTGGATCAGATAGCCCTCCCTTAAGACTTACCTTGACGCAATCATTAAAGTGCATAGCTCTAATTATAGCCACCACCCTACCTCCGAAACCTATACTCCTTAACTTTGTGTACAATAGCTCTCTACATACAGAATCATACACTTTGGCAATGTCACAGAAAGCAAGTGAATTCCGTTGCTTTTTCCTTTTGGCCAACCTCAAAGCGGCTAGGATCAGGAAAACATAATCTGAAGTCGATCTGTTTTTCCTAAATCCGTATTGAACTAAACCATAGAACCCCTCTCTCTCACAGATTTCATTCATGCATTTGTGCAATATTTTGGTAAGCACACTCAAGACTCCACTGGACACTGTTAGGGGACGTTTCTTAATGACCTCCAAAGACGGTTCCTTCTTATCAATTAAAGTCATTTTGCCAATCTGCAGGTCCTCTGGAACCACCCCTGTCTTTAAAACTTCATTGAACATTTTAGTTATCAAGCAGACCATACTACGACTTGCGTTTTTAAGCATAGTTGTTGACACCATATCCAATCCTGCTGCCCTGTTGAGTTTTAGGCCTTTAATGGACTCCTGCACATCACTTACTGACACTGGATTACACACCTCCTTTTCATACTCAAACTCCCCCTGCACAGTAGGGATCCACCTTTCTTAGTTACAACCATTTATGACCAGAACTTCTTTTATTACCTGCTCCCCCCTGCAAGTGAATAATTTTGACTTCATCCCTAGGGAAACCTTAGCCAATTCCGTGGCGACTAAGTCCTTAAGCTTGCTATACTCTGTCACTAGATTTCCATCTGAGTCCTTTAACGCATCAAGTTTACCCTTATTCTTCTCCACCCTACGAGCAAATTTCCAGAAATTCTCATTTCTGGATAAACCTTTCACCTTCCTTCTTTTATAATCAGAAGCAGACAATTCAATCCTTTTACGCTTAATTTCAGCACCAAAGTCATCACAAGTCGCAGCAGCTGCCACCAACCGTTCCTGATCCTCCTCAGACCATTCTAAGCTGTTTAAAATCCTTGTAGCTTTTAAAACTGATAGTTTACGCTCCTCCCTGTCCGCGAGTCTTTTGGCCTGTCTCAACCTTTTAAGAGGCCTATTCTTATGCCTACGACCACCCAACTGAACATTACCATACGCCTCAATATTGGAAGATACTAGTATTTCCTGGATCCTTCTTCCCATCTCATCCAATGCCAATCCCTCCCAATCTGTATCCTCAATCGCCTTATCCATCACTTTCATAGCAACGTTAACATCCCTGTCTTGCTTAAGGAACACCCCCTTATCCACTTGCGCCCCTGTCATCCACCATGGCTTTCTCTAAAGTTATGTCCACCCTTATCCCCACATGATCACTACCTGAGCACCACATACCTTCCTCGTCAATAACCATCCTTTTCACCTTAGGCACCATGTCCCTTGTAGCAAGGACATAGTCTAAAATAGAGCATGACTGTGGCGTAATTCTTGTGAACAATCCTGTGCACACATTTGCCTCCTTATTCATTAGCACTAAGTCGTTATTGTCAATAAAGTTTAGCAGCTTTATACCATTAGTATTTACCCCTTGCCTGTTGCCTGCAATACCCCTTGGAGGAACTCCAACATGAGTATTCATAACCCCCATAATCATACATTGGTAACCCTCTAATTCTAAAGTCCTTAATTCCCCTTGTAATGCCTCATACAAACTATCGTTCCAGGCCATAAAATCATCTTTCGTTGTCACCTCAGCAGCCATATAAACAGAGCATAGTGCTACTTTACACCCATTTTTATGTATTAAGATCCATATTCACTCACTACCAATCCACTCATTAGCCCCATGAGACGAATCCCACAGCGCCCATTTCAATCTTTTTGAAGTTAGCACTAAGTTTCCACCCCCTTTTTTAAGGCCAAACCCTCTCTCAATAAACATTAGATTCCATGTCCTGAAAGCACTCATGTCCTCGTTTCCTCCCCTTTTCAAATGAGTCTCATCCACAAACATAACATTTAAGTGGCCTTTCTCAATTGCATCCACTATATCCTGCTGCTTGCTCTCATCTTTTATGCCATTGCAATTCCAGTAACCAACCCTTAGCTCAGTATGCACCCCTCCAAGCTGACCTCTACAGCTAATCCTATGGCTCTCAGCCCTTGACCCATCACGCTTACCCATGCTTATCTTGGAATTAACTGGCGCTGACCCCCCACCCACCACTATAAAAAGATTCCCTACCAAAAGCAACAAAACCACAACACCTGAACACCTATTCCTCATACCAGTCCTCAGTGGCTTTTGTTGTAAATCTGAAAATATGGATGTTAATTAACTAGAAAACTAATCCCTAATTACACAAAGTTGAAATTTTTGCCGAACTTGGCTTTGACAACCTCCTTTAGGACAGGGTCACTGACCCTGTGGGCAAGAGCACTATGGTTAGGGTCTCCACACTCCATGCATGCCAGTCCCTTGAGTGGACACACAAGTTGTTTGTGGGAATCTTGGAAGCATATCAGACATTCCTTCCTTGACCTGCACTCCACCAAAGGGTGAGCGGCAACACGACAGAAGGAGCACCACACTCACCACCCTGTCTCCTACTAACTTTTCCAACACCTTCTCCTGTTGTTTCCAATTCTTCTCCACTCTATCAACCTTTTCATGGAATTTATTAACTGAAGTTACAAGTTACCCCACCATCTTCCCTTGGTCTTTAAGTTTGGATACCACATCCTTCAAAACTAGCATTACCGCATAGTTGCTTGCAGCTCCCTGCAAGCCGACCCTAGTTTCTGCAATTCTAGCCAAGACCTCTTGATGAGGATCGTCATCCTCCTCTTCCGAGTCCTCACTAACCTGGACATCATGGGACTGTAGGATTAAATGTCTCAATTAAGAAACCACTATAATGTACATTTAATTAACGCCCAGAACCATGATATTTGGACACTACAACTTGTATTAAAGAGCATTATAATGTAAATTTAATTAACGAAAAGAAACATAATATTGGACACTGCAACTTGTATTTGGCGTTACAACTTGTCATTATATTAATTCATTTTCACAACAACTGAGCGCTGCTAATAAAAGTCATCTTTTCCAAGCAACTTTATTTCCCCATTTACAAACAGAAAATAACCAGGGGAAAGATCGCTAATAACATATTTTCAATTACTGAAATCATTATATAGATCAATTAAATCACCACTTTCAATAAACAGTTATATTTACAGCATATTTCACCTTTATTAATCATAGTTTTATAGAAAAAGCGTAAAAAAAAGAAACATACAGTTTATAAATACCTCGTTACAAATCTATATATAAATTTGGCTTGTTTGTCTGTCTGTTTGTTTGTCTGTTTGTTTGTTTGTATCCAATAAACGTCAAAACGGCTGAACCGATCGGGCCCAAATTTTTTGTGGGACATCTAGGGAGCCCAGGGAAGGTTTATGAATCATCAAAATTTCAAATATTTGTCTCTATCAAAATTCGATCGTCATTAAATTTTTTAAAATTTTGAAAATCCGCGAAATTTTTTGTAAAAATCCGCGAATTATTTTTGTTTAGTTTTACGATGTACACAAAGAGAACATGTTTACAATTAATTTAGAAGATGGGCGCGAAGCGCCCTCTAAGGCTAGAAAGAAGGGCGCGAAGCGCCTTGAATTTCTAGTAATAATAAAAACAAGTCATACCATTTAGTTCCAGACCCAAATGCCATCATCATGAAACAATCCTTCTACAGCTTATTTCACATTTATTAATCATAGCTTATATAAAAAGCGTAAAAAAGGGAACATACAGTTTATAAATGCCATCATCATGAACCAATCTTTCTATAGGTCATTAATTCCAGGGTGACACATACACAGAGTTCCTTTTGACTCCGCGCCATTTAGGCAGTTACTCCCTGTCCAGCCACCCCTCTTGCTCCATACTCCTCATCCTTCTCACCTCCTCCTCAGACTCCAGGAAGTGGCTGAAACACTTGGATCCATAGTGATTAATCAGAGCTAGCCTGAATTCAACCTTCACAGCTGAATGGAGCACAGAAACATGGCCTACCTCCTTGCAGACATAACACTTCATGTCCGATTTAAAATTACAATAATCCAACTTGTGGTTGTTATTTCCACATCACATCTCATACACTCAGTCTTTTCTTCACAATCTGCAAACCTATGATTGTCCTCCTGACAATATGGGCATGAATATTTCCTATCCTTTCTTTGGTCTGCTCCATCTACATGCTCCCCTCCCACTCCCGAGTCCTTTACCATTATTACTTCGTCAAACACACCCTTGCCTATGCCCGTCTTGCACAAGTCCACCTTTTTCTCAATCCTGACCTGCCCACTCCTCAAGTCCACGTCCACAGAGTCTAGTTTCCTCTCAAAACTCTCCTGCCTCTTAAGAATCTTGTGAACCTTGGCATCCAACTGTTGAATATCATTAATAATTCGAGTTGTGTCATCCCAAACTCGTTCAACTCCATTCAACAAAGATTTGAATTTCTCCATTATCATAACCACATCAGGGTACGATTTGGGGGGCTCCATTTCAGCATCCATCTCAGACATCCTCCTATCTCCTTGGCCCAATGGAATAGATGGCCCATATATCAAAACAGACTCATCCTTGCTGTACTTCATCCACTGGTCAACAATATTCTTGAGCGCCTGAGGGACACTATCCTTGGCAAGCAATTTCTTGTGCATTAACACAAGCAGGACTTCCTCTACACAATACTCCTTGTTTACATCCAGCTTCTGGTTCTTTGGAATAGAGATTACGAATGGCTCCAGATAAGCTACTCTATCAGCCTTGATTGGTGAGAGTTCGTCCCATATGGCATCCAGCCCTTCCCCTATAGCCAGGCATTTGATTGTTTCCAAATCTTCTCTCCTTGCATCCACCACAAAACTTATTATAAGGTTAGTCCCAGCCACTATTTTAAGCAAGAAGATGTCCCCAGTGTTTCCATAAGGATCCATTCTCTCCCCTACCAGACAAAGAACTGACTAAAATTCTTACCCCCCAGACAGTGTACAATGTATGCTGTATAATGACTGGACAGTGTATAATGTATACTGTTTGATGACTGGACAGTGTATAATGTATACTTATATTGACTGGACAGTGTATAATGTATACTGTATAATGACTGGACTGTGTATAATGTATACTGTATATTGACAGGACAGTGTATAATGTATACTGTATATTGACTGGACAGTGTATAATGTATACTGTTTACTGACCGGAATACTAAGAAGCTCGGGCACCATATAGGCCTTCAACCAGCCAACAAGAGGGGTCTTTCCGGGCATATAGTGCACATTTCTAAATATGTAAACAAATTAACAGATATTAACATTAAAAAAATCTTTAAAGCTGTAATTAAAAAATGTCTTTCAAGGGATATATGTAATACTAGCTTGAGAACCAGCGTTGCCCAGAGTACTCATAGTTAGTAAGACCTGCGCTTGGTCGTAAATTATAATTTTAGCTATTTTTCCTTTAAACGTTGACCAACTCAACTTAGAATCTTAAAACCAAGCTAAGAACATTCCCGTGGTTCTCCCCAGTTCCCCAATAAAAATTAGAGGCAAATCGGTTAAAGGGTTCCTGAGTTATGATCGGAAAAACATAGAGATTATAACTTTACATTTTTAGATGTGTATATATAGATTTAAATTTTTAAAATTTACTTAATTTTTTGGTAGAGAGGATGACCCCCCCCCCCCCTAACCCTAATGAAGATTTTAAATAAGAATTTGTAAATACTAAGCCACTGTTTATAAGGGGGTTTAGTTATTTTCCCCATTTTAGCAAATCCAATTTGAATTAAAACTAGAAACAAACTACTCGGATCAGCCGTTCTAGGGAACATAAAAACAGGATCACGTCTAAAAATCGACAGTAGCTGCCTCTTTCATTGAAAACTTATATGTTATCATTTTTTTCTGTTTTAACCCAAGAAAAATAAGTGCAACGGGGAATGGAGGGGGGGGGGGGGGGAATTTGACAATAATTTGAGAATGTACACCTAGCCAAATTGAATGCCTTAGAATATTTCAGTTTAGTTTTAGACCCAATCCCCACTTAAAGGGACTGTAAGCTTAATTTTAAGCGAGTCTCCATGCCAAGATAGCAATGTCCGATTTACAACGGTACCCTAAAAACTGTAATATAATAAAAAAATTAGAAGATTCTATGCAAATTCACATATTCATAGAACCCACAACAAAAAATAAACAGCCTAGAAAAAAAAACTTAGTTATTTAATTCATACTTGATCAGACATTGCTTTAAGGGTATCCTTGTTAGTAGATGCCCGGGGCAATGCCATCTTTGCATTCCGAGTCACTTGGCATTACGCATACAGTCCCTTTAACACCCTCCATATACAGTCCCTTTAACACCCTACACATACAGCCCCTTTAACACCCTATACATACAGTCCCTTTAACACCCAACATATACAGTCCCTTTAAAACCCTACACATACAGTCCCTTTAACACCCTACACATTTAGTCCCTTTAACACCCTACACATACAGTCCCTTTAACACCCTACACATACAGTCCCTTTAACACCATACACATACAGTCCCTTTAACACCATACACATACAGTCCCTTTAAAACCCTACACATACAGTCCCTTTAACACCCTACACATATAGTCTCTTTAACACCCTACACATATAGTCCCTTTAACACCCGACACATACAGTCCCTTTAACACCCTACACATAAAGTCCCTTTAACACCCTACATATTTAGTCCCTTTAACACCCTACACATACAGTCCCTTTAAATCCCTAATTACATCTATAAAACATCTTGTAAAAAACAACGCTGAAGAAATAAAAAAGGCGCCGAAGAGTGGGTTCACCGTAATATTGAATTCAATGTGTTGATCAGGGAAAAAAGATAATTTTTATATTTTTATCAAAACATTAAACTTTATATATTCGAAGGAAACTAGTCTGAACTTGACAGATAGTTTATTACCAACATTTGTATGCAAATGTCAACACCTGGACCAACGTAAAATAAAATAAAAAATTTGCTTTCAAACATCCATTTTTCATATTTTGAATAAAAAGGAAGTTTTATTTAATATAATATTTGCTGTAGTGAGTAGTGAGTAGTGTACACTATACAGTGTACAATGTTGTGTACATGACAGTGTACAATGAACTGTTTAGTGTACACTATACAGTGTATAACGTAGTGAAGCATGTATACAGATTAAAATTGTAGAAAATGGTTAAGTTTTCATTTTTTATTGCTTTTCCTAGAACACTTTAACTATGAAAAAGAATTAAAACTTACAAAAAACCAAAGTCTCATATAGATTTTCTCCCAAAACTCAATTTAGGCCAATTTGTTTCTATTTCTGACAATCTTGAATCTACGGAATTCGTAAAACTAGGTTTTTAGGAAGAAATGCGCAAGTTTTTTTGGATAAAATTCACAATTGATAATTATCAGTTTTTAAAGGAAAAAAACATGGATATTTAACTAAATCCAAATCAGAAAAGAAAAGTTTTTAATGGTAACGTTGTGATACGGACATGCCACTCTATAAATGGAAGGTTACATAAAACTACGTCTTCAGTCCCTTTAAATTGTTAATGTTTATTCATCATTCTATGAGTTAAACGTTTTCATATGACGTCTTCTCCTAGCATTCACAACCGAAACCACTCTTCGATCCTTAATTTCCTTTCGCCGTGCCTTTTAACCCAAATCGTCATACTTATAATTAAAAAATAACAGCACTTTTTTGTAAAGAGAACAATTTTTTACGTGTCCGTAAACTAATTGATCTGTAAAAATACGTGCGCAATTTTTTAACAAAAAAAGAGGGAAAATAAAAGCAAAACTAATAGATTCTAATAACTTACTTATGGTAAATAAGGAGTCCGTCCAACTTGTCCTGAAACAGTTTCTGATTAAAATACATGTAAAAGAGTTTTATGACAAAAAACTTCTAATGATCCCCCGCAACTTATTACTAAATCAATCGTCAATCAATCAATCAATCAATCAATCAATCGGCTAGTGTACAATCAGCTTCTATGAATTCACACTGTACGCTTTGGCTAGTGTACAATCAGCTTCATTGAATTCCCTCCAACTGGCGATGTGTTCTCATTTGGTACGTTTTTGGGTCGCTTTTCGTTTATAAATATAAATTTTTTCTTTCCGGGTCAAAATTTAGCATAATGTATATTATATACTTCATTCTCAACATTTGTTTTTTCGGTGTCAAAATTGGACCCTGGCAAAAGTTACCCAAAAACGACTCAAAAATGAATCAAAAATGAGTCAAAAACGACTCAAAACGACCCAAAAACGACTCAAAAACGACCCAAAAACGCCCCAAAAAGAATCCAAAAGCAATGCAAAACCGTTTGTGGGGTTACGATCGTTTTTTAGGTTAAAGATTTTGTAAAATTTAATAAAAGAAAGCATAAACTTCAGTTTTGAAATCTTAAATGTATATCAATTTTTCTAAAAAACGAACCAAAAAAGATTTACAACACTTTCACCAAAATAAAAAAATAAAAAATACCAAACCTCCCCAGTCCCCATTCTCTTCGTTGTCAAACTACAATTATCCCCCATTAACCCATATTTTAAATAAACATAAAATGACCGGCCCCCCAGCCACCCATATNTCACCTCGAATGGAAGGGAAGAGTTAAGAGCAGATGAGATGGAGTCCTGGGTACACTGATATATAGGTAAAGGCATAAACCTGCAATAAATATTATTCTAAATATAAAATTTATGAATTTTCCTATGTTGGGTTCATGACCTCCGGTAATCTGGAAAATAATGGCAGACCACATTTTGAAACTGCCAGGACCATGGGAATTCAATGATTATTGTTTTTTGTTCTTACAAAGATCAAAGATAAGATTTAAACCGTGTCTTAATAGTAATATTTACACCCTATTTCTCCCTCAAAAATAATTCTCCAAAAATAAAAAAATCATTCTTTTTTCTCTCATTAATTTTGCACATCTAATTCTAAACGTTTGACAAAAAAATGAATGGAAATAAATAATTGTTAATTAAACTCTATAAAATATGACTATGGTTTACCAAACTTCCGTAGAATACAAAATCAAAATATGCTTTGATCGATCAGGTGTAAGTTTCTTTTACTTGGTTGGGGAGGGGGGGATGAATTTAAGATCTCTTCCCCTTCCAACCTTAGTTGAAAATTCTATGGAAGAATGAACAGGATTCTTCTATTCAAATTTGTTAAATAAAGTATATGAGGGTTTACAACAAGTTCCACTGCTGAGGGTTCGGTCCATAGATAAGATAATAAACAGCTTTATCAGACATCATCCATAGTTTAGATATTACACAGATTTATCAGATATTATCCTTAGTATAGTAAAAAAACACAGATTTATCAGATATTATCTATAGTTTATATATTACACAAATTTATCAGATATTATCCAAAGTTAAGATAATACACCGATTTTCCAGATATTAACCATAGTTTATAGTATACACAGATTTATAAGATATTATCCATAGTTTAGATAATACACAGATGTATAAGATATTATCCATAGTTTAGATTATACACATATTTTTCAGATATTATCCATAGTTTAGAAAATACACAGATTTATCAGATATTATCCATAGATAAGATAATACACAGATTTATCAGATATTATCCTTAGTATAAATAAAACACAGATTTATCAGATATTATCTATAGTTTATATATTACACATATTTATCCGATATTATCCTTAGTTTAGATAAAACACAGATTTTTCAGATATTATCCATAGTTTAGATAATACACAGATTTTTCAGATATTATCCAAAGTTTAGAAAAAACACAGATTTATCAGATATTATCTATAGTTTATACATTACACGGATTTATCCGATATTATCCATAGTTTAGATAATACACAGATTTATAAGATATTATCCATAGTTTAGATAATACACATATTTTTCAGATATTATCCATAGTTTAGATAATACACAGATTTATCAGATATTATCCATAGATAAGATAATACACAGATTTATCAGATATTATCCATAGATAAGATAATACACAGATTTATCAGATATTATCTATAGTTTATATACATATTACACAGATTTATCCGATATTATCCATAGTTTAGATAAAACACAGATTTTTCAGATATTATCCATAGTTTAGATAATACACAGATTTTTCAAATATTATCCAAAGTATAGAAAAAACATAGATTTTTCAGATATTATCCATAGTTTAGATAATACACAGATTTTTCAGATATTTTCCATAGTTTAGATAATACACATATTTTTCAGATATTATCCATAGTTTAGATATTAGACAGATTTATCAGATATTATCCAAAGTCTGAAAAACCAAAATTGTCCACTTTGAACAAAATTTTTTATTTCTCTTGTAAATTGATAAAGGAAAACAACATTTTGGAAATTAACAAAACTTTTTTAAAAACTCTTTATCATCCTATTTGCTGTTCCAACAACATATTTTCAGGAAAATAAATTTTGAGTAGAAGTTTAAGTAAAAAAATACCTTCCTCTCAGATATTTTGAGATTTTTTCACCTTTCAATTTGGAATATTTTTTATTATTGTTTTTGCTCATTTAATTTTCTCAATCATATCGTTCATTTTAATTTTCAGAACTGTATGCATAATCTAACTGACCTTCCATCTTTAGAGTATTAAATATATTAGTCAGCTTCATTGAATTCACACTGTGCGCTTTGGCTAGTGTACAATCGGCTTCATTGAATTCACACTATACGCTTTGGCTAGTGTACAATCAGCTTCATTGAATTCACACTGTACGCTTTGGCTAGTGTACAATCAGAAGAATTTCTTCTCATCTAAAATCAATCGTCAATCAATCAATCAATCAATCAATCAATCAACAAATATCAATCAATCATCAATTAATCAATCAATCCAGTTAATTGAGATTAATGTTTGAGGTTTAAGTTCAAATAAACAGTTAATTAATCAGATTACGAGGTTTCCCTAAGATTTCAAGGGAGCGTTCATGATATATAACGATTGGTTGAGAAATTCCAGTTCAAACCTTGTATGTAATATCATATGTACAGTAAAGTGTAAAATACAAGATAATGAGTTTGTTATGTGACTTAAATGCAATAAACTAACAGGGACAGAACAGAAGCCTGTCTCCGGACGGGAAAAAAGAGATTTAGAAATTTAACAATTATATTTAAATATTCCAAATTTTGTCTCAAGGGTTCTTTATTTTCTTTGACAAGTTTTCTTTTTACAAAAGACTAGGTTGAACATGTGTGAACAATCACTTATTGAAAGGTTTGATTTGATTGCTTTAAAACTCAAATTATTTAAAAACTTTCTGAAATTGCTTCAAGCGAATTCTGCAGCAGGGCTATACAATTTCCCTATTTTACACGAAAAAAAAAATATTTTTAAAAATCTAAATATATAGAATTTTATTTCTTAAATCAATTAACTTTCAATGGGCTTAAGAAAAAGATATTGCACTTCAGGTAAAATATGTGTCAAAAAAAAGTTTTTTTTGAAAAATATTTTAAAGAATACTTTAAAGGGTTAATATACATTCCTGATTAAAGTTAAGTTTAATTTTGATGTTTGTTTAAAGTTTTAAACCTCACATCCACAACGGTTATTATTTTTCAACCAAATTATAATTTATTTTGAGGATTATTTTAAGGGATTAGAGATATATTTTCGAGTGCCCCCTTAAATTGTAGTGTGGATTGTCAAATTCAAAATTATACCGTTAAAGAGTACTTTTCGTCTCATCCATGATGGAGGAGATATCCTGATTTAACTAGATAAGTTTGATTATTTTCAATTGTGGCAACTCAAGTTACTAACGCAATTTACAGTTTCGAGACATCATAATTTTTAATAGATTTTGTAGATTTAGACTCTCATGACGTTCTTTGGACCAAGGATGTTATATATCATATTTGGAATAATGAATGAATCTGACCAGGATGAATTGAAGAATAGATATCTCTAACCAGGATGAATTGAATAATGTATAAATCTGACCAGGATGAATGGAAAAATGAATAAATCTGACCAGGATGAATGGAAAAATGAATAAATCTGACCAGGATGAATGAAAAAATGGATAAATCTGACCAGAATGAAATGAAAATGTATTAATTTGACCAGGATGACTGGAAAAATGTATAAATCTGACCAGGAAGAATGAAAAAATGGATAAATCTGACCAGGATAAATGGAAATACGGATAAATGTGACCAGGATGAATGGAATAATTTATTAATCTGACCAGGATGAATTGAAAAATGTATAGATCTGACCAGGATGAATGGAAAAATGGATAAATCTGACTAGGATGAATGTAAAAATGTATTAATCTGACCAGGATGAATGGAAAATAGATAAATCTGACCAGGATGAATTGAAAAATGTATTGACCAGGAAAAATGAAAAAATGGATAAATCTGACGGTCTGACCAGGATGAATGGAAAAATCGTTAAATCTGACCAGGATGGATGGATATATAAATGAATGAATGACTCTAACCTGTATGGATGAGTTCTCGAACTATCCATCATCAGATCTCTGTTCTCGATGAATTTCTGTTGAACCCAGGAAAGACGAAACTCAGTATCACAGTCATAGTACTGGAATCCATCCCAGCTTAAACAAATAGAATATTTTAGAACTTCAGCAAGTGCTAAGGATCCATTTAATTGCGGATCCGCACTGGAAATAAATGTTCCAGGTCATGAAAATTTCTTTAACATTTACTGATTTTTTTTTGATATAAAAGAATTGTCAAATAATTTTTCTTCTTTTTTGGCTTATTTTTATCATTAAACTTGATGAACCATGCAGAGATCAGGAAATTTTTATCAACAGTTCAGATTTGGGTTTTGAGAGAAAAAAGTATTTTGTTGTTGCAGTTTTCGATTGATATTTTGCCCCTTGAATCCGCATATTTTTGATGATCCGATTCTAGGAAGTAAGTGCTTAGGATCCGGAATTTGGTTTCCTTATCTCTGAATGGTTCGTCGAGCTTTAACATAAACATAAGCGAAAACTCTAAAAACCATTAAATGGTTAAATCAAATTAAATCAGGATGACTTGGTTCCGGATACAGGATCTACAACAAAATGAAATGGATCTTAAAAGCACTGTATTTAGCAAATATTATTCAAGTCTTTCTAAAATATTTAAAATATCTAAAATATTTAAAATAACTCTTTTTAAATTGAAACACATTTCGAAAAAACACTAATTACAAGGTGGCGTGAGCGTAATTTCCAGTAACCATCCAGACAAAAGATAACAATGCACGATTTACAACGGTACCCTGGCCTTGAAACCTTTTTCTTTTCAACAATGTTTTTCTAGGTTAAGAAGAGTTTAATCGGCCCTTGTAATAATGCTTGCAGTTCCTTTAAATATTACTTTTCGATTAAATTTTCTATGCCAATTAATGTTTCTTTTAATATTATCTTCTTACTCGGTGCAATATATGAAATTTACACGTATTAACACAAAAAAAAATTTCCCACGAATATTACTGAAAAGATGAAAATTTAAAACTAAAGTAGAAAATTTTGTTGTTCTACAGTGACACCAAGAAAACTCTGAAATAGGAAGACGACTTTCATAAATCAAGCTTTAACTTTAAGTCCAATAACACGAGTCACAGCAATTGTACAGTGCAAACAGACCCATTTCACTTAATTAATGATTTAATAGGTGTCTAACAAAACAACATCAAAGAAACTTAAATTTTGTGATAATGTCGTCTTCCTATTCCATTGTTTTTTGGTTATCACTGTACTTACCACATCATATCTAGTATATAGAACATTTTGGATTTATCCGAGTATATACAGTCCAGGATACTGTAAGAATTTCTTCTCATCTAAAATCAATCGTCAATCAATCAATCAATCAATCAATCAATCAATCAATCAACAAATATCAATCAATCATCAATTAATCAATCAATCAATATATTTATTAATCAATCAATATATTTATAAATCAATCAATATATTTATAAATCAATCAATATATGTATAAATCAATCAATCAATCAATCAGTCGCTAACGGTTGGCTCAAAACCCAAACTGAGATGACGAACAACAAATATCAAAAGTAACTAATGATCAGAGACACCTGGTGTTAACATTTCTAACTAAATTTCACCTGATTTCTGTTTCCTCCCGGGAGATTAGACGGAAATTTCTTCACCATTTTCCCGCTCTTACTGTACACTTTGGTTAACCCATTGGATGCTATCACGAAATTACGACGACCCTGCAAATGTCAAGTTTTAAAATAATTTATTATATTATCAAGATTTATTCACACACAAAGATATAAATACATATATAAATGGTGTTGTTAAAATTTGTTTAAATAAATTTTTTGAAAATACAGGTTTCCAAAAGAAAATGTGTTGAGGTCATTTTTACATAAATTAGAAAGAAATCTAATGCAAAGCTTAGAACTGGCTTCAACAATTCACCAAATTGACCAAGAAAGATTTAACATGAAATTGTAAATAGGATTCCTAATTTTTCAATTCTAACCACATATATATATATATATATGAATAAATATATATGTATATATATGTATGTATTTTTCACAGGATGGATCGATTCACCCTGCAGGGTCTAATGATGATGATGAGGAAACTGATGAAGATGAAAACACATCTCATGATGATGATTATGATACTGTTGATAAGAACGCTAATGTAATTTAAATATGCAACATGTATCCTGTAAGAACCTTCTAGATATATTGTTTGTTTAGCCTAAGGAACACTAAGACGCCTAGCCAAGCCAAAAGATAACTTGACCTTTTATGGGGTAGCCTAAAGCGATATTTTTTAAGCAAGACAACCCGCCCAACCCTAACATTATTCGCGCAAAGTTCCTTCTTCCCTCCTTTTTTGGGACTATGAAAAGGCCGATTTTTTGGATCTAACAGTAGTGAGATTTCGTTAGCTAGTTCTACTAACAACCAAAAAAAACCATGTTCAGTTTATTATTTGGCGCACTCCCCCTTTAACTCTCGTAATAGAATCTATATATATGCCTTTTTACTAACACCCTTTATCTCTTAGAATATTTTCATGTAGTTTGTTTGTTTCTTAGATATTTAAGTGTTTTTCTATTTCAATTTTATAACTTTGTTTTAAATATACTTGATACTTTTCTCTTAGAATATTTTCATGTTTCTCATATATTTAAGTGTTTTTCTATTTTTATTTTGTAACTTTGCTTTAACTATACTGAATACTTATCTCTTAGAATATTTTCATGTTTCTCAGATATTTAAGTGTTTTTCTATTTTTATTTTGTAACTATGTTTTAACTAAACTTAATAAAAAGGATATTTTTCCAGCTTTTGCAACTATTAGAAAGACCATTAGCGAGCATTTTTAAGATTAGAAGGACCCCTTTTGCTCTTGAATTAGTTTGAAAATAGAGTATCTTTTTAGCTCTTGAATAACTTAGAAAAAAGGATAGATCACTTAAAAAATTACGTCAACAGCTTTTTTTCCGAACACGATTAAAAAATAATTTTTTAAAAGAAATTTTAGAAATAAAATATTTATAGAAAGGGTAAGTTTAAACTTTTACTCAAAAAATTCAAGCTTGCTTCTCTCCTCTCTAGCTGAAGGGTGGTGGGGGCAATAATATAAAATATTACCAACCCTTGACCTAAACTGAAGAAATTCAAGAATAAGAAATACTAGAAACTGTACTTTAATATCATCTATATTCTAAAGTCTACACATTTAGTTAATTTAGTATGACACAAACATATTCAAAATACAGATTATACAGATAAGACAAGAGAGATAGTCATAGTTTAATAGTCCGATCTACACAGAGAAGACAAAGGAGGTAGTCATAGTTTAGTAGTCCAATCTACACAGATGAAACAAGAGAGGTAGTTATAGTTTAATAGTCCGATCTACACAGAGAAGACAATGGAGGTAGTCATAGTTTAATAGTCCAATCTACACAGATGAGACAAGTAAGATAGTCATAGTTTAGTAGTCCAATCTACACAGATAAGACAAGGGAAATAGTTATAGTTTAGTTGTCCAATCTACACAGATAAGACAAGGGAGGTAGTTATACTTTAGTAATCCATTCTACACAGATAAAACAAGGGAGGTAGTTATACTTTAGTAGTCCATTCTACAAAGATAAGACAAGGGAGGTAGTTATACTTTAGTAGTCCAATCTACACAGATAAGACAAGGGAGGTAGTTATACTTAAGTAGTCCAATCTACACAGAGAAGACAAGGGAGGTAGTTATACTTAAGTAATCAATTCTACACAGAAAAGACAAGCAGGAAACAATTTTTTTGATGATTTGGGAAAGAAAAATAATTGGACAACAAAAGGCAAGTTTTTCACTTTTTTCGATACTTTTTACCCAAAGGTTATTTTCCCATAAAAACCATTTTTCCGCAATACAGCGACCAAGCCCCCCCCCCAAAAAAAAGAAAAANGGGGGGGGGAGAACTTTTTGAGAAAAAATACAACCCTGACAGTCATAGTAGTCCAATATATACAGATAAGACAAGAAAGGTAATCAAAGTTTATTAGTCCTCTTCTTATATACAAGATAGAGAGATAGTTATAAGTTAAAGTAGGATATTAAGAGCTCATGATCTTAGTAAAAATATCATGCCTAAATATCTGAAGTTATCGACAAATGCAACTTCTCTTGTCCCATCTTTATTATATATTTTGCCTATTTATTCAGACAGTTAGTTGATATAATTTTATTCAATTTAGGTTCAAGAATATCTCTAGAATATCTCTAGAATATATTTGTAATATATATTTCTAGAATATATTTTTAGAATATATTTCTAGAATATATCTCTAGAATACATCTCTAGAATACATCTCTAGAATACAACTCTTAAGAATACATCTCTCTAAAATACATCAATCAAGAATACATCTCTCTAGAATACATCTCTCTAGAATACATCTCTCTTGAATACATCTCTCTAGAATACATCTCTCTGGAATACATCTCTCTGGAATACATCTCTCTGGAATACATCTCTCTGGAATACATCTCTCTGGAATACATCTCTCTGGAATACATCTCTCTAGAATACATCTCTCTGGAATGCATCTCTCTGGAATACATCTCTCTGGAATACATCTCTCTGAAATATATCTCTCTGGAATACATCTCTATGGAATAAATCTCTCTGGAAGGAATATCACTGGAAGGGATATCTCTGGAAGGGATATCTCTGGAAGGGATATCTTTGGAAGGAATATCTCTGGAAGGAATATCTCCGGAATGAATATCTCCGGAATGAATATCTCCGGAATATCTATGAAATATCTATGAAATATCTCTGGAATATCTCTGGAATATCTATGGAATATCTCTGGAATATCTCTGAAATATTTCTGAAATATCTCTGAAATATATAAATAGAATATTTCCACCATACATATAGAATATTTCCAGAATATCTCCAGAGCTAAACGATGCCAAAACTTTGCTTAATGCTCAGACAGAGCTTTTAATTAAAAAGTTTAATTTAAAAACTAAGGATTCATATTCTTCACACAAAGTTTTAAAAATTTCAAATTTCAACGTGGTCACTTGTCCAGTTAATTTTTATATTTCCTAGCAATAAAGTTTCCCGGACCTGGATCAGCCCTGGAAAAAAGTGGATCCGGATCCAGGTACAGACAATGAACACTTCTTTAAGATTTACTGAATTTTTAACAGATGAAGAATTTTCATATCATTTTTCTTCTTTTTTTCCCGTTACTTTTATGCTTATAATTGAGGAACCAGCCCTAGGAAGTTTAAGATGATTTTTTTTAAAACAGTTCAAAGTTGCCATTTACAAAAATTTCCGAACCATGCATCAAAAAATATCTTAAATCGAAACTGATTAACCGACATTTATTTGTCTTACTTCGAAAAAACAACCAAAAATATGTCTAATATAACACTCAAGCTGAAGGTGTCTGAATAGCGAATACGAATACTGAGAAATTTGCAATAAATGTTATGTCTGAATATTAAACTGACCTCCGGACAGAGAATAAGAATCCATGAGGACGCGAGGTCGTCAGGGACCTCCACTAACCACTCCGAGAGCATTAGCTGGTTCTTATAGCTCTTATACAACCGCCTAGGGGGACAATAACAACAAATAAACCACAATTATTACAATTTACAGAGATTTCATGGATATAACCAGTTTTCCGTCGGATTTAAGAACTTCAATGCAACATTACTACGACTTAGACACGTCTCTCAAAAAAAAATTCTTACTTTTCCGAGCCATATTTTACTTGAAAAGAGGTTTATGGTGTAAACTCTATATCGCTAAACGCTTGATATTTATTGTTCCTTGGTTTTATCTCCGTGGTGGTATCCATCTCTTCCTCCTCCCCCTCCTCCTCCTCTTCCTCCTCAAACTCACCCAGGGCCAGGCATCTAGATTAACAATATTAAAGGGAGTGTTTGTAAAATAAATGTGAAAGAAAAAATCGGAAAATTTATAAGTTATTAAACTAATAACTTGCAGGCAATTAGTAAATTTTACCACTTTCAATGTCAAACATGTGAAAATTAGTAAAGTATCAATTTTTTGAATCAAATAAAAAATGTTAAGATACAGTATAAAGTGGGACAATTGAAGACTGGTTGTTTTGTAACGTAGGTCCGATGGTGCTTTCTCGAGTATGTGTGCAGCAATCCGATGAGTTTCACCCTTAGCACCTAACACTTCACAAAAGAGAATGATAAAAAGATCTTAATTTCTTGTTGTGACCTGGCGTGATTAAGTAGGTCGTCTCTTCTAGATTTTTGGTATTCCAGAAGAAGCCGTCGTCTTTCATCCTAAAATAATCAATATTTCATGAGCTGTCGTCTTTCATCCTAGAATAATCAATCAATTCATGAGCTGTTGTCGTTCATCCTAAATCAATCAATTAATTCATGAGCTGTCGTCTTTCATCCTAGATAAATCAATCAATAGATCATGAGCTGTCGTCCTTCATCCTAAATCGATCAATATTTTATGAGCTGTCGTCTTTGGTCCTAGATTAATCAATACACCCTGAGCTGTCGTCTTTCATCCTAGATCAATAAATAAATATTTCATGAGCTGTCGTCATTCATCCTAGATTAATCAAAACACCATGAGCTGTCGTCTTTCATCCTAGATTAATCAATACACTATGAGCTGTCGTCTTTCATCCTAGATTAATCAATGCACCATGAGCTGTCTTTTTCATCCTAGATTAATCAATACACCATGAGCTGTCGTCGTTTTTAATTCCAAAATAATATAATAATAAACGATCAGTGGTAAACTTTTATTCTAGATTTATCATTTGAATTAATTAATATTTCTCCTGTAACACAAATAATAAGAAAAAAACCGTCCTGGAAAAATTATCCATCATCACCTGTGGAATTGTACTGGTTTTCATCTTAAACTGTGCGAATCTTGGATGCGGTCTAAAAATATTTACAATTATCATTAGATTATCGATCCTTTGACATAAGGGGAACTAACTACGCCCTGTGTTGACAACTTGTAACTTGTATGTCATGAGGCAATTAAATTCATAAAACCTGTTTTTTTCTCCTCAAAACTATGGATTAATTGAAGATTATGAATGTATTTGGCCAAATTATCTCTTGTTGATCGTATTTGACTAATTTGACTGAAGTTAGCAGTATTTAAATGTGTTCTGACGATATTTAAGGGCATTTGACCGTATTTTCATGGTTCATAATAGTGCGGCATTTGACCGTATTTTGATGGTTCATAATAGTGCAGCATTTTACCTTATTTTGATGGTGCATAATAGTGCAGCATTTGACCGTATTTGCCTTCTCTGTTGATACTGTATTTAACAAAAAATAAGCTAGTGGGGTAAACCAAATAGGCCTATAATAGAACGTGTTCTGTAAAAAGTTGGGCCGCGCCATCAAAGTTGAAACCGAGCCAGCATAGGGTCGGGCCGGTGCTTGCCATGCATCACTAAGAGGTCAGTAAAGGGGTTAGTCCGGTTCGAATTCAAATTGTCTCTAGTACACCGTGAATGTGACTCTACCTGTCCGTAACTAACCTGTTTGTATCATTCGGTGTATTTGTGACAGTAAATCCTGCGGCAAAGGAGTCCGCTAGATCTTCCAAACTTGTTCTAGATAGAGGATTGTTTTAAAGGGTGACCACCAGTTAGAGAATTATTTATAAGGGTGACCACCAGTTAGAGGATTGTTTTAAAGGGTGACCACCAGTTCGAGGATTGTTTTGAAGGGTGACCACCAGTTAGAGGATTGTTTTAAAGGGTGACCACCAGTTAGAGAATTATTTTTAAGGATGACCACCAGTTAGAGGATTGTTTTAAAGGGTAACCACCAGTTAGAGGATTGTTTTAAAGGGTGACCACCAGTTTGAGGATTGTTTTAAAGGGTGACCACCAGTTAGAGGATTGTTTTAAAGGGTGACCACCTGTTAAAGGAATGTTTTAAAGGGTGACCTCAAATTAGAGGATTGTTTTAAATGGTGACCTCCAATTAGAGGATTGTTTTAAAGGGTGACCTCCAATAAGAGGATTGTTTTAAAGGGTGACCTCCAGAGAGAGAATTGTTTTAAAGGGTGACCACCAATTAAAGGATTGTTTAAAGGGTGACCTCCAGTTAGAGGATTGTTTTAAAGGGTGACCTACAGTTAGAGGATTGTTTTAAAGTATGACATCCAGTAGGATTGTTTTGAAGGGTGACCAAATCAATTAGAGGATTGTTTTAAAGGGTGACCTCAACTTAGAGGGTTGTTTTAAAGGGTGACCCCCAGTTAGAGGTTTGTTTTACAGGGTGACCTCCGGTAGAGGATTGTTTTAAAGAGTGACCTCCAGTTAGAGGATTGTTTTTAAGGGTGACCACTAATTGGAGGATTGTACAGTAAGGTGTCCTAGTGGATAAAGGATTAGGGTGTCACGGGGGACAAAAACTAAGGGATAAGATAGTTTTATTTTGGGATTAAAATCAGTTCCTTCATTTACTATGCTCCCATGTTTACCCCCTGTATTTATGGTTCCCTAAATCAGTTTATAAGATCAACAACATTCGAAAAACATATATTTCAGAAACATATAAAATTTAAAGATTTTCAAAATCTATTTAAGGGTAATACCCGCCCAGTCTCTTTCTTTATTAATCTGTACGAAATATATCTCCATAACCCCGACTAAAAAATACAATTTGCATGATGAAATTGAGGTCTGTGATGTTAGATCTGAATTATTTTCTAATATTCATTTAGCTTACAAGAACTCTGGGCTGCATCTAACATTTTAGCTACTTATCTTTCTTTTTGGTCATATTTGGCCCAAAGGAAAAAACCGAAAAGGGCTGATTAGCAAATTTTCAAGGATGGGGGGGGGGGAGTTGGATTTTTTGGGAAAGCCCCCACACCCTCTAGTTCACCTGCTCCCAGGAGGGTTGTTGTGCACTTGCTGGAGTCCCGGCGGGCTGCGCCCAACCCTGGAAAACATGTTAATTATTTCCTTTTTTAAATCAGATGTAATATTATGTATTTGCTGTAAAACCCAGCTTTGCCTGTAAATTAAAAACTTTCTAAACCACGCAAAGGACATTATATGACATAATTTAAGGCAAATCGGTCAAGGCCCAATCACGGAAACACAGCTTTGTGCATTTCACACAGACCCATTTCACAAGTTGTATTTTCAAGCTTTCTAAAACTATTACTGCCTGAATGCCCGGTTTTACTATAATCTAAAATTCGACTTACTTACAGTCATTGGATTTTAAATTTTACTGCTTTTAGGAAAGCCAATGACAAAAGCAAGCAGATTGTAAAGATATTCTTTGCGTATTTAAATTCGCTGTTCAAAAATGTATAACATCCCATGAATTAGTAATAAGGAAATAGTAGGTCCTTGGAGACATTTCCCCCTCCTCCCAGCACATCCCTGCAGTCTATTTTCATTAGATAAGACGTCAGTTGGAATAGGGTTAATAAATATAAGAATAGAACTGTTGCAACCTCCATTTTGAAAAGTGAAAAAAGTTCTGATAAGAAAATTAACTGACCTGTTAGATATTTGAACCCCTGGGCGCAAGTTAAGATCAAATTCTGGCGGTTTCTGATGAGCATTAGAAGGGGCAGATACAGACCCTGAATACGTTACATCTATATAATTATAAGGGGGAAACAATTCACCACTTTTTTGATAAAAATATTTAGATCCTTTCAGCATGTGTCTTGAAAGTTTCTATAATAAAAAAGGAAAACAAGTGTTTAACATTTTTTCTCATTTTTAAAGTCATGCATCGCATCACGTTTTTGTAAACAATAAACCACTAGAGCAAGCAAAAATATATATTTTTTAAATATGTCGATATGGGTACCAACAAATCCGTCTTGAAACACTGAATCAAAAAATGTTAAGATCATAAAAATCGGTTCAAAATTGAATAAGTTATCGGCAAAAAACGGACACTTTTGCGGAGATTTGCCTAAGTCCGCCATATAATAGTTTTTGACTCTAAATTAACTAATTCTCACAATATCAAAAAACCAAAAACTGGGACATATTCAGTGGTTACAGGTGCAGTTTTAGATACCCATATCAACATATTCAGTGGTTACAGGTGCAGTTTTAGATACCCATATCAACATATTCAGTGGTTACAGGTGCAGTTTAGATACCCATATCAACATATTCAGTGGTTACAGGTGCAGTTTTAGATACCCATATCAACATATTCAGTGGTTACAGGTGCAGTTTAGATACCCATATCAACATATTCAGTGGTTACAGGTGCAGTTTAGATACCCATATCAACATATTCAGTGGTTACAGGTGCAGTTTAGATTGCGCGGACCCATTTTATTTAAAATAAAAAAAAGTTTTGAAAAAAAAATCATTTTGTCCCAGAGCTAATAATAAAGCTCTTGGCTCATATATATTTGTACACATGTTAATTATAACTTGCCCAAGCCCAACGGCTGAACCAAATTGGCTGAGGTTTTTAAGGGTAACATGGGCTTTAAAAAAACTTTATTTTTAAAAAAACCTTTTACTTAACGTAAAAGTACCCAGGATTCAATCCTGTAAGAAGGACAGAGTTTGCTCGAAGATGCACATCCCGATCGTTAGTGCTATGGTCGGCACCTCCCGGCTTATCATGGCTAAATTCCAAAATTTGAATTTTTTTTCGAATGTTTCCAAAATTTCACGGGCAACACCGGGCAGCTCAGTTAGTTAATAATATAATTCATTCATTTATTTTCCCAAATTGAGCGAATAGAAAAGCTAAACCCCTACAGTTACACAAAGTTCATTTACAGATTTGATTAAATTGAAAATGAAAAGTTGTGTGATAACTTTTCCTGATGTAAATAATAAAATAACTATTTCTAGCGTTCATTTTATTTTCATGGCAATGCCCGACTCATAACGGTAGTTGGTTCTCTTGAAACCTTTTTCAATAATGTGGGAGATATTGCCATTTTTCTAGAATTAAAACGTTTAATACTGATAGATCCTTTGTTTTCCTGCAGTAGAAATGCGCTTATCACTTTTGCTGAGTATCCCTAACTAGGATAAAAATCAGTTTTCAAAATTATAAACATCAGTAATAGTATCTATTTCATGCATGATCAGACAAAGATTTTAAGGAACCGTTGTGAATCGGCATTGCCATCTTTACTTAAAAATAAGCTTATTGTTTTCTAACCTTCATTCTGGAATGGTTTATTCTCTGTAGTCATTTTTCTGAAAATAGAAAATAACAAAATTGGGGCCATACATCCCTTTAAAAATTACTATCGGAACAAATAAAAAAAAATATACGAGAGTGGACAACAAAATATGATTCATCAATATTATCTTTCTTTCATAAAATCTTTTCTTTAAATTTGTGCAACTTTAAGAAAACACTTTTACAAATTAACCTAGTTGAAATAAAGATTCATAATTAGCGAATACACTCTGAAGAGAACTCTGCACCTTTTTCTATCTGAAATAACTGTACCCACTGTAACGGAAATTGATAACCCCTCCTGAAAATATACACCCCGGAAAATTGGTCTGTGGAGGACGGCTCAAATCAATTCTCTTTAAAGATACATCGGATAGAAATAAAACATTATCAATCCATTCAGATACAATGATGGGTTAAAAATAACAAAATGCTAATGTTACGACTAAATCTAAAATACTATCAATCAAAAAATTAGGAAGACTATGATCACAAAATAATAAATTTTCTAAATTAGATCTAAAAATGAAATGTGCAAGTTACGTACAACAAAAGTTGTACTGCGAAAGCTTAGGCAGTACAACAATTGTAGTAAATAGTGATAAAAGTGCTGGGGGTTTTTGTTTACCCTGTAAGAATCAATATATGTTTTTTTTTATTTCAGACTAAGAATGGGACCAAAGCACTCAAGAGACCAATAAACAGTATACAGGCCCCTTTTATCAATAGTAGCGGCCTGTATACTGTTTATTGGTCTCTTGAGTGCTTTGGTCCCATTCATTGTCTGAAATAAGAACATATCTTGTTTCTTGCAGGGTAAACAAAACCCCCAGACAACCATTCTTATCTAGAAGTGAAGATTAGTGATACTTTGCCCGCTTGTGATTATGTAAAACAAACACAAAATACAAATCACATTGGTATTACGTTACACAGATATACAGAGTAACAAATAGTGCAAGGTATGTACATTGTACAATCAACGTAGTATGCACAATGCGAACTTTATGTGCCGTACAGTCTACAATAAATGGTCGTGTTTAAATGGTTTAAATGAGGTTACAATAAATGGAAATTGATAATCAAAACTTACTTTTTAAAATTCATTGCGAAAAAAGTTCTTTTAACCGTTAAACAGGAAAACGATTAAAATAATTTAAATATTGAAACGAAAAGTCCAATGAATACAGCATATATTCTAACAAACAAGTAGATCATAGAAAATACTAAACAAAAAAATAGATCCGTGATTAACACATTTTGGCTTTCTGGATCCGCCTCTGCCAACATGTGGGGATCCACGGATCCGGATCAAGGGGAGAAGATATCAACTGACCATTGCAAGCAAAAAATAACGAGAAAAAAATAATTTGAAAATTGTTCTATTGATCAAAAATAAAGCATTATATCTTAAGGAAATGTTCATGACCTGGATCCGGATCCATTTTTTCCAGTGCGGATCCAGGATACGGATCCGCATCAGAATTAAATGAACCCTTAACACTGATTATACGTTGCACAATGCACATTGCTGGTTTAAATGCAGAAGAATACGAAAAGAGGTTAGTCAGTCAGGAACATTTAAAAGAGGAAGCAAAAATGGAGATTTTTATCAAAAGCAATTCTTAATAATTTTTAATTATTTTTAACTCGACATCATTTATGAACATTAAAAAATATACTTATGAGTTGAAAAAGTATTAAAAGCTAATTTTTTGTAATGTACAAAAATGAATTTTTTCATTTGAAAAGACTTTTTTAATCCCTATGAATTGCACATTTTTTTTTGAGCGAGTTCACTTGCTTGGAACAAATGATATAACATCAATTGATGTAAATTACATTTAAACAAAATGAAAGTCAAGGAGAGAAGCCACATGAGCGTTGCATCATTACTGAAAGAAAAACACTTTGTGACACCATATGCATTATTTATACTTCTATTTATATCTTCTATTCGACTGGTCTGGTCCTGTGCAATGTAAAGAAGAATGGGAAAACTTGAATAATAATCTTCTATTCGATCCCGTGCGCAAATATCATTACAAGTCCAGGCTCCAGTATCATATCGTCACTAAAACAAAATGGCGTCACAGAAACAAAATGGAGTCTTATACAAGAAAAAAGAGTTGGTTTCGAGTTATAAGGAAAATAATCCTAGCAATTTAGCAATTTTCTTCAATAATAATAATAACCATTTTACAGACAGAAAGTGTGTGTGGGGGGGGGGAGTTATATCTAAAAATAATTGTGTTCTATAACAAATAATTTATAGATTGTTTGTATTTTCTGTGTTGTAAATGAAAACTTAACACCTAAAATGACAGCAATAATAAACACTTATGTCTCGAGAAGCCAAGTTCCAAAAAGAATCTAATATCTACATTCTACAGAAAAGAGAAAATCTATTTTAAACTTAAAACCTTTAGACTCCAGTTTCAAAAGATATCTGAGATGCTTGAAAACATTTCAGTGAATATAAAAGGTTACAAAACAGAAACAAAAGCACCAGTTGATCAAATCCATCCACATTACCCAATATTTTAACTTAATAGGAGGTTGGGGAACTCGGACCGCCATCGGGTGAGCGCACTCAAAGAGAACACCAGTTTCCATGATGAGGGCTTCAATTTTTCTGCTTTTTGGCCAACATTACCGACCCATTGCTACCCAATAGCGGGCTGTCTCTTGGGACAATAAAGTAAAAAACATCCCGCTGGCGCTCTGCAATGGTGCGTAAACAAATTTGCGAATTTTTATCTCAAGAGTCAATTTTTGTACAATGCTTTCACACCAAGCATGGGTCAAGTTCAATGGCGTACTGCCACAAACCCGCTGCACACTTACCAGATGCATGAAGGTCCTGTCGGTACCTTTCATGAAAATGATAAAACAAGAAAAGAATAGTAGAAGATAGGGCATTCGGAATTTATCCGAATAGTGTGTGCGCTCTGTAAACTTTTATATGACGTCATTGGCTGCAGTATTGATATTAAATTCAAACAATCAGCATTAAAACTCTAGTTATCAAACAAATTAATCATTGTAGGCGCTAAAAATGGTGGGAAAATAATGACACAGTTATAAACTTCTAAATTTGTTTTAATCAGGTATAGGATAGGATGCTCTTAATCTAACATAAAAAGCTAAAAATGTGATTTTGTTACCCATCTCATTTCATTTGTATGAAAAATACCACATATTTTATAACAAAATTTGTTAGATGTCTTTAAGTAAAGTTTTGTAATAGTCTAGAGCAGAATTCTAGGCCAGTAACGTGAGCAAGGCCCGAAAAAGCCTTGATTTTAAGTTTTGTAACCAATTACATTGCAATCTGTTTTAAGATAAAGTTTATCTGAAAAGATAATAAAGTTATGCATTTCTAACGGCAAATTACGTTGTTTTGCGTATAAATCCCAATGCCCCTCTTTATATTACACAGCTCTTTGCCAGGAATAATATAAATTGATTGAAGACTTCAAAATCGCATTTGACCTTGGAAATAGTTTGCGTCATTCAACATAGGTAACTTGATTTAAGCCTCATAGGTAACTTGATTTTAGTCTCATAGGTAACTTGATTTTAGTCTCATAGGTAACTTGGTTTTAGTATCATAGGTAACTTGATTTTAGTCTGCCATTTTCGTGCTTTTATTATTACCGGAGATATGAATGATTTCGTTCAGAATGAGACATTTTCATGATTTATCTCAATAAATTGAAATTTAAACCAAATTTTCAAAATCTCTGGTATTTTTGAGAGCAAAAAATTGCAAACCACATTTTGGAAATGACAAGATTAGGAATATTTTGTAATTTTTGTTTTTTTTATGTAAGAAAATAATACCTATTCATCTGTCTAGTCTCCAAGGTTTGTAAACCGGCTGGCCATCGTCGCTCATGAGCATTCTCCATCAGTTCTGACACTATATGTGACGGGCACCCAGACTCTAAAATAAAAATAATTTTAAGGCAAGTCTATCCAATACGATCCCAAATGTCGATTGATTGATAGTACGAAATTAACAATGCTGATTTGTAAATAATTAAGTATGATGTCAAGTTGTAGAAAGAATTGTGTTTATCAAAATTGATTACTAATTTTTACATCTTTTAACGGCAACACCCCAAATGCAGTACATATTTACGTAAACAGAATGACACAGAAAGTGTATTTTCATAACCCCTAAGCGTACTTTTAACCCCGATCCCATTTACGAAGGGGTAATATTTTTCTGTCCTAATCAGTATCCAGAGTAGGTCTGCAATATGAAGTTGTACTCTGTCCTATTCCATACCCAGAGTAGGTCTGCATTATGAAGTTGTACTCTGTCCTATTCAGTACCCAGAGTAGGTATGCATTATGAAGTTGTACTCTGTCCTATTCAGTACCCAGAGTAGGTTTTATTTGTAGATTCATATAGTTGTCAGATTGACGAGTGGTTCTTAGGCTGATGTGTGGGAAACGTTACCATTTGGCTTAAAAAGTTGGTCTGTGTTGCTTCTAGAAATTCTCTTCCCTTAAGATCTGAAGAAAGATTTTCCCAGTCTATCTTTGGAAGGTTTATGTCACCAATCATTACTGAATTGTTATTCATGTTTCTTACTAATTCACATAGTTTGCTTGAGTTACTGTTGCTAGAGTTTGGGGATCTGTAAACAGCTGTGATATTTATTGATTCACTACCACTTTCACTTGTCAAAACATTAAAACTACAGTATTGATTAAAATCAGAGTTAAAGTTGTCAGTAGATAAAACCGTTAGGCCTAGCCTAACATAAACAATGATACCACCACCAATTCCATTCACTGTGTCCTGTCTATCCTTTCTTAGCGATTCTTCAATAGTATAGCCAGGTATTTGTAGANTTTTTTTTGAGCCTCTTTTTTCAATACAATCTCAGTGTTGTTAGTAAACAGAGTTAGTGTTTATGATTTGAATAGTTTTGATTATATGTTAGTAGTGTTAGTTTTATTATTGCAGGAACATTATTCCTATTATTAAGTGTTGGTAAACAATTAAAACTTTAAACTTCTAAATTTTAATTAGAGGGAGATTTTAGGAACTCCTTTCAAAACTTTGTTATAACTTCTAAAAATTTTTATTAGAGGGAGATTTTTAGAAACTCCTTACAAAACTTTTTCTTAGAGGTGCAGTTTTATCCAGTGCCACTTCTATTTGAGATCTGCCATTTTGGGCCTCCTTGCTGTCATTTAGAAAAATAGACAGATTTTTCAAGAGCAGCTCGGCATATGAAAGACCTCTTTTATAAGTGAATCAAGCAAATATAAGCTTGGTTGATTTAGGTCTGCAATATGAAGTTGTACTCTATCCTATTCAGTACCCAGAGTAGGTCTGCAATATGAAGTTGTACTCTGTCCTATTCAGTACCCTGAGTAGGTCTGCAATATGAAGTGTACTCTGTCCTATTAAGTACCCAGAGTAGGTTTGCAATATGAAGTTGTACTCTGTCCTATTCAGTACCCAGAGTAGGTCTGCATTATGAAGTGTACTCTGTTCTATTCAGTACCCAGAGTAGGTCTGCAATATGAAGTTGTACTCTGTCCTATTCAGTACCCAGAGTAGGTCTGCATTATGAAGTGTACTCTGTCCTATTCAGTACCCAGAGTAGGTCTGCAATATGAAGTTGTACTCTGTCCTATTCAGTACCCAGAGTAGGTCTGCAATATGAAGTTGTACTCTGTCCTATTCAGTACCCAGAGTAGGTCTGCAATATGAAGTTGTACTCTGTCCTATTCAGTACCCAGAGTAGGTCTGCAATATGAAGTTGTACTCTGTCCTATTCAGTACCCAGAGTAGGTCTGCAATATGAAGTTGTACTCTGTCCTATTCAGTACCCAGAGTAGGTCTGCAATATGAAGTTGTACTCTGTCCTATTCAGTACCCAGAGTAGGTCTGCAATATGAAGTTGTACTCTGTCCTATTCAGTACCCAGAGTAGGTCTGCAATATGAAGTTGTACTCTGTCCTATTCAGTACCCAGAGTAGGTCTGCAATATGAAGTTGTACTCTGTCCTATTCAGTACCCAGAGTAGGTCTGCAATATGAAGTTGTACTCTGTCCTATTCAGTACCCAGAGTAGGTCTGCAATATGAAGTTGTACTCTGTCCTATTCAGTACCCAGAGTAGGTCTGCAATATGAAGTTGTACTCTGTCCTATTCAGTACCCAGAGTAGGTCTGCAATATGAAGTTGTACTCTGTCCTATTCAGTACCCAGAGTAGGTCTGCAATATGAAGTTGTACTCTGTCCTTTTCAGTACCCAGAGTAGGTCTGCAATATGAAGATTGAAGTTGTACTCTGTCCTATTCAGTACCCAGAGTAGGTTTGCAATATGAAGCTTAATTGGTCCTATTAAGTACCCAGAGTAGGTTTGCAATATGAAGTGTACTCTGTCCTATTCAGTACCCTGAGTAGGTTTCAGTTGGACCCCTGTTGAAAGGGACTGTTATCGTTATTTTATTGACCGATAGAAATAAAATTTAACGCAGTACCCTTGAATTCTTTAACTTAGAAACGATGGTATTAAATTAGATTAAAAAGGGCCCGGCCCCCGATCGCACAAACTTTTAATATTTGACCATTTTTTTAACGTGAACACAAAATCAGAAATGTTGGTCTCCAAAATATTATTTGATAGTTCGGATCAAACATACGGCAACCTTTTCCAACACTTGATCTACCTTTTAAAGATCGTTTGATCATTGCTTGAAGAACCGCATCAGGCGTAGAGATCATTCCTCCCCATCGTGTCACCCTGATCAATCAATCAATCAATCAATCAATCAATCAAGCAAGTTTGTTAGTTCACAACTTTTGAATAAATTGAATTGTAATCATATCTAATTTTCCGGGAAAAAAAGAACTTTGATAAAAAATTAATTTCTTTTGGGGGCGACAGATTATAACAAGTTAAAAAACGCTTCCAGTTACATTTGAATATATTATTACGAGGGTTTTAGAGCGCTGCCCGCGCCCATCTTGGATTTAAAACTCTTCCTCTTTTATCGATTTTATTCGTGGATTTTGAAAAGTCAACATTTTTTAAAGACAAAGTTTTCCAATTCTAACCATCCATAAACAAAGTATATATATAATAGAGGTTTCTTAATAAACAATTAACTGGAATACCTAGCTCTAGGTAGTGTATGCGCCCATCGAACTACATCGTCGTCTTCCATCTGATCTGTAAGTGCACGCGCGTTCGGATTCGAGGAGCGCATTGCCTGAGTCGGGACAAAAAAACGTGTAAAAAATGGCTCAAAAAACGTTTCTTTTTTATAATATTTTTTATATATGACAAATGAAACGTAAATCTATAATTTTACATAAGTAAAAAGTAATTGAAAACTCAAATTAATACTAGGAAGAAGGACACGTAGAAAACTAAAAGCTTAAAAAATATCAAAAAATCTTATTTTCTATCAACACAACATGAATTTTTTCTGCTCCAATAATGTATTTTTTGTTTGCCTTTACAATCTCTTTGAGAAGATGTATTTCACGTTTCTGTTCCGTTAGAGCATATCTCATATCACTCATCTCCTAAACATTAAGGGAGGTTAGAGCATATCTCATATCACTCATCTCCTAAACATTTAGAGAGGTTAGAGCATATCTCATACCACTCATCTCCTAAACATTTAGAGAAGTTAGAGCATATCTCAAATCATTCATCTCCAAAACATTTAGAGAGGTTAGAGCATATCTCAAATCATTCATCTCCTAAACATTTAGAGAGGTTAGAGCATATCTCAAATCACTCATCTCCTAAACATTTAGGGAGGTTAGAGCATATTTCATAACACTCATCTCCTAAACATTTAGAGAGGTTAGAGCATATCTCAAATCATTCATCTCCTAAACATTTCGGGAGGTTAGAGCATATCTCATATCACTCATCTAAACATTTAGGAAGGTTAGAGCATATCTCATATAACTCATCTCCTAAACATTTAGGAAGGTTAGAGCATATCTCATATCTCATCTAAACATTTAGGAAGGTTAGAGCATATCTCATATAACTCATCTCCTAAACATTTAGGAAGGTTAGAGCATATCTCATATAACTCATCTCCTAAACATTTAGGAAGGTTAGAGCATATCTCATATCACTCATCTCCTAAACATTTAGGGAGGTTAGTGCATTTCACATATCACTCATCTCCTAAACATTTAGGAAGGTTAGAGCGTATCTCATATCACTCATCTCCTAAACATTTAGGAAGGTTAGAGCATATCTCATATCACTCATCTCCTAAACATTTAGGGAGGTTAGTGCATATCTCATAAAACTCAACTCTTAAACATTTAGGAAGGTTAGAGTATATTTCATTTCACTCATCTCCTAAACATTTAGGAAGGTTAGAGCATATCTCATATCATTCATCTCCTAAACATTTAGGAAGATTAGAGCATATCTCATCATCACTCATCTTCTAAACATTTAGGAAGGTTAGAGCATATCTCATATCACTCATCTCCTGAACATTTAGGGAGGTTAGAGCATCTCATATAACTCATCTCCTAAACATTTAGGAAGGTTAGAGCATATCTCATATCACTCATCTCCTAAACATTTAGTAAGGTTAGAGCATATCTCATATCACTCATCTCCTAAACATTTAGGAAGGATAGAGCATATCTCATATCACTCATCTCTTAAACATTTAGGAAGGTTAGAATATATTACAAATCACTCATCTCCTAAACATTTAGGAAGGTTAGAGTATATTTCATATCACTCATCTCCTAAACATTTAGGAAGGTTAGAGTATATTTCATATCACTCATCTCCTAAACATTTACGGAGGTTAGAGAATAATTCATATCACTCATCTCCTAAACATTTAGGAAGGTTAGAGTATATTTCATATCACTCATCTCCTAAACATTTAGAGAGGTTAGAGCATATCTCATATCACTCATCTCCTAAACATTCAGGAAGTTTATTAGTTCTATATGATATCCCTGTTTTGAGATATTGATATTAGACTGTGTCAAAGTTATATGGCCGACAGAGCCCCGTGACCAGATACTGAACGGCATTGATGGAAATTCTGGTCACTTGATAAATTGCTGAATAACGATTCCTGACGGTAACCTTAAATTAAAAGCTATGTATGATCAGCAGTGAGTAAGATATCTATGACTTTTCTTAAGTTATTTTTATTTGTGGTTTCTCTATACTAATTACTTTTAGATTTCTTATACCAGAAACTTTTAAGGTAGCAAGAAGACGATACCTTTTACATTATTGATCAGATAAAGGTTAAAGGTTTTCAATGTAAATTGGGGCAACATAATTTTCTTTTAATTATATCAATACGAAGACAATAAGTTAAAAAAAAATGGGGGGAGGGGGGAATCCAAGTTAATAAGAATGTCTCACAAGAGACAACAAATATTTCACAGACGCCTAAACAAACAACTCAGAACCAAGAACTAAGAAAAAAATATACCTAGCCAAAAAACTAGGTTGGAAACCGATCTATGCCTGGAAATCAAAACGTTCCCAAAATAAATCGAACTACTAAATTTTAAACTTTCAAACCAAACGAAGAACGTTCCCGAGGAACGTTTAACGAGATCTTGGATAAAAGTATGAGGCAAATCGGTCCAGGAGTTCCACTGGTTCTAACGAGTTCCTTGATCAAAATGTGAGGAAAATTGCTCAAAGGATTTTTGAGTCATGATAGGGTATATATATATATATACAAACAAACAGAGATTACTACTTTATATCAAAATATGATGCACTAGACTGAAACAGTTAGAACCTGAATACCTGAGTAAACTTCTGAATCCTATCATTCTGCTCCCGAACCTGGAGCCGTAGTTCACGGACACAGTTGTGCTCCTTCATCTCGTCCTTAGACAAGGACCATTTTAATCATAATATTGGCGATTTTAATCACACATCGGACGATTTTAATCATGCAACGGACAATTTTAATCTACAATTGACGATTTGGATAATACAATGCAGCCGACTTTCATAATAAAATAAAATAAAATAAAAGCCTTTACTAGTTAAATGGATGACTTATTTAAACAATGGACGATTAAATAATACAAAGGACGGAGTTGTGACATATCAGAGAAAGACATTTCATAGATAGGACATTTCATAGATATTCATTTCATAGACGGAAATTTTATAGATAGGACATTTCATAGACAGAGAAGATTTTTCATAAACAAAGGAGTTTTTATATCTACGAAATTTTTAATTTTTTTTAAAATTTAAATTTGAATTTTTGAAAATATTACATGTGAAGAATGTTTTTGTTTTTTTTTAAAAACTTATTTCATCTGTGAAAACATTTCTGTCTATTTAAATTTTTAAGTTTTAAAAAATATTTTAAAAATATGAATGAGAAAATGTGAATTAAAAAAAAATTTAGAAAAAAAATCATTAGTAAAAAAAAAGAAAAAAATTATCATTTGTTAAAAAAATTTTCTCCGTCTATGAAAAATCTCCTGTGTCTTTAAAAATCTTCTCTGTCTATGAAATGTCTTATCTATGAAATGTCCTATCTATGAAATGTCCTATCTATGAAATGTCCTATCTAAGAAATGTCCTATCTATGAAATGTCCCATCTATGAAATGTCCCATCTATGAAATGTACTATCTCTGAAATTTCCTATCTATGAAATGTCCTATCTCTGAAATTTCCTATCTATGTTCCTATCTATGAAATGTCCTATCTATGAAATGTCTTATCTATGAAATGTCCTATCTATGAAATGTCTTATCTATGAAATGTCCTTTCTCTGAAATGTCTTTCTATGAAATGTCACAAGGCCCATAGGACGATTAAAACACTATAATGGACAAGTTTGATAATATTACAAAAACATCTAAAAATAGATATTTTCATTCAAGACTGCTGATAAAATTTGATTGATTGATTCGACGTATGACCGAAAAAACCGATTAGGAGGGGGGGGGGGGGGGGAACTCACTGATTTACTTGTCCAAACATGTGATAATCTAATGCGGATGGAAAACTACTGATTGAATTTGCAAAATTTAAGAAACTGAATTTTTTTTAATCTTTCACATTGACAAAACTGATTCATTTTTGACTGATTTAAAGTTGAAAAAAATTGATTGACTGATCAAAACTGATGATACGTTTATTTAAAAGACCGATAAAAATGTTAGATTGATTTCAAAGTTTATGAAATTTGAGTGCTTGAATGTTTTAAAGCCGATGAAAATGGTTGATTGATTGATAAAAAAATAAAAAATTTAATAATGATACCTTAGGTACAGTTTGTCCGCAGCCCTGGACACATGCTACAGGTTTCTACAAAAAAAATTAAATTTGTTAATTTGAAATTGAAAATATTTTAGTGAGCAAGACCCGACCCTCCATGAAGTTTGTTTATCTTCCTTATAAAAAATAAAATTGATCTTTTTAAAAACTTTTCTTTATTTTGATAAAGAGATGAGGGCTCGAGAATATATAGCTTCATAGGTATTTCTCGGATCTTGCAGACCAAGCTCCCCCCCCCCCTTTCCAGTGAGCTCAGTGAGCAACCTTTAAAATAATTGACAAAATAGAAGATATTTTCTACCCGCACTGGAAAAAAATCGAACCGGATCCAGGCAAAGAACATTTGTTGAAGAATTAATGAGTTTTTATTACAGAAAAATTTTAAAATCAGTTTTTCTTTGTTTTTCCATCATTTTTATGCTGAAACTTGAAAAAACCTTGTAGAGATAAAATATTTTTTTTGACAATCCCTCTTATTTTTAACAGTGAAGATCTATGCTTTAAGAACAATTTTTTTTTTTGCAGTTTTTGATGATATTTTGATCCTTGAATCCAGATCCATGGATCCGGATCTAGGAAGCCAAAATGTTGCAGATCCTTAGCACTGATTTTAACAATGTCCTTTACTTAATACTTTGTAACAAACCTTGGGATTGTGTTCGCATTCTTTAAGGTGTATTGGCAGTACATCTAACTTAACTACAGCTGTACAACCGTACTGATCATTGTCACATCGAATCTCCAGACGGTACAGCAGGTTCTTCAGTATCCTACAACAGCGCAGTACAGTTACACAGTACAGTACAGTACAGTACAAGCACAGTACAAGCACAGTACAATCACAGTACAAGCGCCGTACAAGCACAGAACAAGCACAGTACAAGCACAGTGCAGTACAGTGCAGTACAGTGCAGTACAGTACAGTACAGTACAGTACAGTACAGTACAGTACAGTACAGTACAGTACAGTACAGTACAGTACAGTACAGTACAGTACAGTACAATACAGAACAGCACAGTATAGTACAAAACAGCACAGTACATTTTAACAGAACATTAACAGAACATTAACAGAACATTAACAGAACATTAACAGAACATTAACAGAACATTAACAGAACATTAACAGAACATTAAAAGTACATTACATTATAGTACTGTACAGTAAATTTACAATAAAATAAACTAATTAAAGTCAAGTTTTACTCCACTGTAGTAATCACTCTCAGGCAAATTTTCTAACAGCATAAAGAAAAACAATTTACGTTTTGTATTCAATTGTTTCTTGCACACAATTATGCAGGAGGGAAATTAAATTGCTCTCTTTTCAAGGGAAAACAACGATGACATCTTGTCGTGACTTATGACTCATATAAAATGGTACCGTTGTGAATCAGACATGAAAACTCTTAAATATAGTGTCACAGTCAATTCACAATTCCTTTAATCAAATCTATGGGCAGAAGTTAAAATTTTAATGAAGTAAAACTATAAAAATAAAATGAAGTATAGACGTTATTTCAAGTAAATCAGGCAGTGCCAGATTTACAACGGTACCCTTGAGACTTCAATGTGATCAATAATGTGGAAGAAAATGTCGTTTTTCTAAAAAGTTTTTTACAACTAATTTATTATTTCCTGAACGTTTTGAAACTGACATTGCCATCTTTGCATGTAGAGTCTCTAGAAATTACGCTTACGGTCCCTTTGAACTACTGACCTAGGAACAGGTTTAAGCTCCAGAGCAGAAATAGTTCTTCTGTCTACTGGACAGGTGGGCTGGTGCCCGATCCATTCTACTATACATCCTAAAACAAGGAAATATATTGTCAATATTTTTGCTAGAAAAAATTTAAAGACATTTTTGGAAACTTCTTTTAAAGATCTAGGGTCTGTCCTAGAGAACGATTTTTGGACCCCACCCAGGCCCGCCCCCCCTCCTATCAATTTTGTACATGACTAAATTAGTATTTATTTCTTAATATTTAGGGTTAGGATATGTTAAGACACTTTCTGGGCCGAGCGCTGCGGCTAGGATAGGCTAGGGGGCCGAGCGCTGCTCGTATACTAGGAAATTACCGGAAAGGGGTGACATATTATTAAGATAATGTCAGATAATCAACATTTACACAATTTAAAACAATACGATTATTCACGAATGAAATAATCGAACAGTAGTTTCCCTTATTAATTTTAAAGCAATGTTGGTTCAAATTCTTAAACTTTTATTTGCTTGAATTTCTAAAAATACCTAGGTCCAATTTACACATACAGCTATTAAAAGTTTACTGACTGTCGCAAAAAGTTGGCCCTATCCCAGGGGAGGGGGATCCAAAAATCGTATACTAAGACAGATCACGACCCATATCAACTTAATTCACAGTTTGAAAAATACCAGCTAGTAATCAAATGACTTGAAGCCATAATAAAAGAATTATTCAAGACTAAAATCTATAAAGTGATTCTTATACCAAGAAAAATTCAACAGTTGTGATCATACCTTTACAAAAAGCGTGTTCGCATTCAGGCGCTAGCCTAGGATCTTCTAAAACTGCTGAACAGATTGGACAAACAAGTTCTTCGTCCACCTCGCCCTCAAACCTCGTAACGTCGAACCCCATTCAAAATTACAAGTTCGAACTCGGATCTTAAATGATACCTAAAAATTGTCTGAAATTGACAAAGATCACAAACATGTTACAAAACAGAAAACTGAAAACGAAAAAAAATTGAAGGCAATACACAAATTAAACTTTTTAATAAGTTTTAAATTGTGTTGTGTTAAATTATTTGTCTTTTCGTTCCACAGAATTTAGACTTTAGAGCCAGATCTTGCAAAAGTGTACACACAAGTCCTTTTTCTGTCTGAGGGCCCCTGATGCAACTAAAACAAATCTGAAAACGGAAAAATATTGGTTAGGTATATTACAATTACATCGTCTATACGCAACATCCCCCCTACTGAACTTCTGACCTACTAACTTTCCGACCTACCGCAATATCTGACCTATGCCAGCTGTTTATTTTTGCATTATTGGAGGGTTAGGTTAGGTTAAGACTTCTCTCAAAAAAATCTTAAGCAGGCCAAGCGTTATTTAACATAAATAAGAGGTTTATGAATAAACTCAGTAGTCAGTTCCTATAATTAATGTTTCTCTAACGTTTCCAACTTTCTAAGTAACCTACGATATGTTACGCTAAAGATATAAATTTCAAACGTTTTTGTCATGTGTACAAATCTAAACTAAAGTTTATATGAACAATTTCTTTAATGGGAGTGATGGGAATTCAAGAGGATTTGGGGAAGGGGGGGGGGGAAGGGATGTATAATTGAAATCTATCAATCAATTATGAATAGATTTCAGATTCGATCATGCATGGATAGATAGATAGATAGATAGATTATAAGTATATTATAGTATTCTCTACAGAACATAGGCAAGTATATAGTGTTCTCTACAGAAAAATAGGTAAGAACAAAGTGTTCTCTTCAGAACAATAGGCAGGGGCGTACGAGGGCATTTTGTTTATGGGGGGCACAATTTGCTACATTTTGGATGTTACTAACCTTATAGAGTTTAAAAATTATTCCTTTGCTTGAAAAACTAACTTTTTAACTTTACAAAATTATCACAATTAACTCCATCACAGCTAACTAAATCAATATCACAGCATCATTAAAAATTATATTTTTACTAATAAACAAAATTTCTTCTGAATTTTTTAGATAGAATTTACTCAATCTACATATTCACCAACTCTTTTAAGCTACAATTTTCTGGGATTTGCTTGCACAAACATTTCAATGATTTTTTCAGTAGAGAGCTCAGACAGCCTTATAGGGTGCAAAGCTATAAGTGCAAGATCGTTAAGTCTGCTCTCCGTCATAGTACATCTTGTATAATGAAGTATTCTCTTTAGAAGGCTAAAACTTTTCTCTCCTTGTATTAACAGTGAATTCAGACAAATCCTAAGTCTTTGTCATTGTCAGGTGTTACTTTTTAAACGTAGTTTCCTTTTAATTTTGTATTTTCCAGGGGGGGCAGTGCCCCGTCTGGAACTCCCAGGGGGGGCAACAGGACTACTGCCCCCTAGGTACGCCACTGATGTGCCTGGCCTGAGGAAGGGAAATGCAAGCAGATGTAATTTTAAAAGAGCCTCCCTCAAGGGTGCCCCCTCTCAGCCTCTCAGGGGGGGCAAGCATAGAGGGGGGCGGGGGGGGGCGCCCCCCCCTCATACGCCCCTGACAATAGGCAAGTATATTGTGCTTTTTTCAGAACAATAGGCAAGTATAAAGTGTTCTCTACTGAACAATAGACAAGTTTTATATAGTGTTCTTTACAGAACAATAGGTAAGTACATAGTGTTCTCTACAGCACAATTAGGTAAGTACATAGTGTTTGCTACAGAACAAAAGGTTAGTATATAGTCTTCTCTATAACAGAACAAAAGGTAAGTATATAGTGTTCTCAGCAGAACAATAGGTTAGTATATAGTGTTCTCTACAAAACAATAGGAAAGTACATAGTGTTCTCTATAGAGTTTCTAAACATTTTGTAATAATTATATACTTTTACACAGTATATTTTGTAATATATTTATATATCAGAAATCAATTATGTATCCCCCCCCTTTCCCGGGGTTTTTAAACATGTAATTAAAGTAGATGGGAGAAAAATATTTTCCCATGGAAAAATCCCATGTTCATCTCGTGCAATAAACTCAAGTTTTCGCTATGTAAAAACTCGGTCCTAGACCCGTGATCAAATCGTCGACAATCAACTCGACAACACGTGAATTATCACGGGATAATGACAGGTCACTTGTGTGAAATAAACCAAATAATCTTGTGTTCTTCACGGGTTTTTGTTTGTTGGGACGACTATTGCAGCACCCCCCCTTTCCCCACTCGTACTACACCCTGACTCCCTTCCATTGTTACTAACCCTAGGCCCCCCCTCGGTGCTACGTCCTACCTCCCCCCCCCATTATGTAAGAGCATCCCATGACCGCAATTGTTACAGGTCATGCAGATCTCATCATATAGAAACTTTCTGAACAAATTGAGCAGTATGCTTAAACCTTGATGAAATGAATTAAACTGGCTAAGATTTGACAAATGAGCTTGCTTTTCAGCGGGCCCTCGTTTTTTATCATCCTTTTTGATTTCATTTCGGAAGAAACAGTTTGTTTTTTCATCCTCAAAGCTCTTCAGATGTACTGATAAATTAGTTTTGATCCAACAATGGAGTCAAACTCCAACAGCAATTAATTGAGGACTAAAAAAGACGGTTTTTAATCATCCGATGCTGGAGCTCCACTAAAAGACATTTGCGGATAAAAAAAGAGTTTCATCACAGTAGAAAAAAGAAAAACGGTGGAATGAAAGAATAATTTTCCATCTGGTTACAAAGCAATAGGCAATTACATAGTGTTCTCTACAGAACAATAGGTAAGTACATAGTGTTTGCTACTGAACAAAAGGTAAGTATATAGTCTTCTCTACAGAACAATAGGTAAGTATATAGTGTTCTCTATGGAACAATAGGTTAAACCTGTGTTTTGTTTGTTGGGTAATATTTATTTTTAAACTGTGGGCCATCTATCAAAAATGTGAAGAAAGTACAGACTTTCTCCAATCTTTAACGCCAAAATACACATATAATACTCAAAAAATCTAGCATTTTCTGCAAGAAAAAATTTCTATTAGCCTTATTAAATTTTTCAAAAGGATTCAGTCTTCTTAAATTTTCGGATTTGTCCCCTAAATCGTAATTTAGACCTATTGATGCGGTCTAATTTGATGTGGGACACCCTGTATATAATTATGATATCTATAGCTATGAGTCATTTCACCATCTTAATTACAGCATTAATCCGCACTTACTTCTAGACATGTTACAGAATGACATAAGAAATGAAACAATTAGTTACTCCACAGCTAAGCATAGGACTGAACTGACCCATGAAAAAGAGCTTTATGACAAATATAAGAAGCAGCAGGAAAAACTTGAGAAACACGACCCAACTTATACTGAACAGGAATATTTAGAAGCTGAATCCAATTATACTGATTTTATTGACTCTAAAACGGCTACAAATTTTCGGAAATTTCAAACATTAACTAAAATATATGGAGAGAAACCCACAAAATTCTTCTGCAATCTTGAAAAAAACTTCAATGCACAGAAATACATACCGAAACTTAAGATAACTAGAAACGGGATAGAAACAATAATTACAGACCAACAAATGATTGATAAGGAAACAGGAAAATATTATGAAGACCTATATGAAAACAAGGACCACCTACTCACAATGAATGTAGAAGAATTTTTAGGGCCTGGAAATTTATAAAATAAACTTAAAAATGAACAGATTACAGAACTGGAGTCGGAGATTACATTACAAGAACTATCTATTACTTTAAAACATACACGAAATGATTCCTCGCCTGGCTCTAGCGGTTTTACTTTTGGTTTTTATAAATTTTTTTGGGGATTATTAGGCCCATTCATTCTGAAAGCAGCACTTTATAGTTTTGAAATTGGCAAATTACAAGATTCTCAGGCTATAGGCATTATCTCTTTGATTCCTAAGGGTGACAAGCCTAAAGAATTATTAGACTCCTGGCGTCCCATAACTTTATTAAACTGCATTTACAAATTAATATCTGGTGTTCTAGCCAACCGAATCAATAAAGTTCTCCCAAATATTATTCATAGTGATCAAAGTGGTTTTGTCCCAGGGAGATATATTGGAGATTGTTTACGGTCTACATATGATATTATTGAATGGGCTAGAAACAATAAAAAAACAGGACTGCTTTTACTTATTGATTTTAAAAAAGCATTCGATTCCATTAGTTTTAGATTTATTGAAAAAACACTGCTTTTTTTTGGATTTGGGCCAAATTACGTTAAATGGGTCAACATTTTATTGCACAATTTTAAAGCGAGTATGAATCATGCTGGTAATATTTCGCCCCAATTCAATATTGCTCGGGGTTGCCGACAAGGCGACCCAATTGCAGCTGCACTCTTTATTTTGGCAATTGAGATCTTATGTATTAAATTGCGAAACAGTAGCGAAGTAAAAGGATTTAAAATTCATGACAAAGACTTTCTTCTATCACTTTACGCAGATGACTGTTCTATCTTTTTAGAATATAATTCATTAAATCTGTCAAATGTTATTGTTATATTGAATTCCTTTTTCCATACTTCTGGATTGCAAATTCAAATGCAAAAAACACAGTGTGTTGTATTTGGTAAAATTCCTCCAACTGATTATGTCTTATGCAGAGAGTTAGGACTCAAGTGGGATCAAAACTTCAAACTGTTGGGTATTAAATTTGATGGGACTCTTTCTAATATTGAGTCTAATTATGATGAAAAAATTGATGATATAAGAACTGTTATGAAAAAATGGCAATATCGATTCATTTCTCCATTAGGCAGAGCATGTATAGTAAAGACGCTAGTTCTCTCAAAATTGGCACACCTTGCCTTTGTTCTTCCATCTTTAAATAAACAAAAACTTAAACTAATTGAATCTGAAATATATAAGTTTATATGGCAGGGCAAAGAAAAGGTTTCAAAACTTGACTCGAAATACCCGGAAGATAAAGGTGGCTTAAATTTTCCTGACATTGCAGCTAGTTGGAAAGCATTCAAATTCTCATGGTTCAGAAGACTCA